TATCTTCGTTAATGTTCGTTTGATTTGTACAAAATTTTCAGGGTATACTAATAAAAATACGGTCTTTAACAGCATATTTCTTATTTACTTAAAAAAAATCCCTATAGGGATTTTATTTAATAATAAAAAAACGATTTTATTTAATAATAAAAAAACGTTTGAAAAATAACTTTTATAAAAGTTATTTTTCAAACGTTTTTTTATTATTAAATAAAAGGACTTTAAACATATTTTCTTGAAAAACCCTCGAACATATACCTATAACATATATAAGATGAAGTATTTTTTAAAAAATTTCATAAAGATTAGTAAAGGCGTTTTAGAGTTAAGACTTTTTTTACTTATTATGCGTTAATTTTGACGCGCAGTGTAAAAACGTATTACTTTATAATTTGCAATGCCAAAAAGAGTGGGGCTCTTTTAAATAATCTAAATTTGACAAATCTTTACACTTTTTACATGGGAATTGGCAGGTAAGTAGGTATAAATAAAATATCGCAACAAAACAATTTAATTAGATTTTATAATTTAATTTTTTAATTTTTATTTTTTTGCGTGTTATTAATTTTTTTAAATTTTAATTTGGTTTACATGCAACAGCAACAAACAATTTAAAATTATTATGTGTTATGTTAGTAATCCGCTAATTAAATAACAGGGGTGTATTTTTGACTTTAAGGGTTTAAACCGTTTTAACAATTTAAAATTGTTCAATGAAAGGTAACAGTAATTAAAATTGACCCGTACATTTTTAGATGTTGAATCTGAATGTTTAAAAAAAATATGTTTTTAATGTACGCAAATAAAAAAATACTACCGACCCATTTGTTAAATTTGGGAATAAAATACAATATTTACCGTAATTTTAAGTATTATTTTAATTATTATTTACATAATTTTTGTAATTATTTAGTACTTTTTTATTAATGTACCTTTTTTAATTACGTATGTGTTTTTGTATTATTTTTTAATATGTTTATGTTATTAAACTAAGAGTACTTAAAACATATTTTTATTTAGTTGCCCATATATCCACAATAAGGGCGTTCGTGTACTACGTGCATTCAGGTTTTTTTTGGCTTAAATTGCAGATTTAAAAAGAAAGAAAGGAATATTTCGTGTAAGAATAACTTTGACCTGTCATAGATATTGGTGTCATTCGGACCACGATTAACGAGGGTGCCATTTTGACAATTTTGTGTCATATGTATAAAACCGTTATTTTCCAAAAATATGTTATGTTTATGAATATCTGTAAGGTGTCACTTTGACCTGTTATATCACAAGTTCATACATATTGGTGTCATTAGGACCAATATTAAGGGGGGTGCCATTTTGACAATATTGTTTTATACGTATAAAACAGTGAAATATCTTGGCAACGCTGTAGGGTGTCAGTTTGACACGCAATATCACAAGTTCATACATTTTGGTGCCTCATGGACAAGATTTACATGGGTGCTAATACAGCAACATGTGATCCTTCTATTTTATACGTATATAAGTGTGGGTGTTTGATTGTACATCGGTTATGTGGGTGTCGTAGCATACAATTAATATATATATATATATATATATATACATATACATATATGTGTTCTATTATAATTATAATAGAATCTATCATCTGAAGGAAAAACAAAAATGTTACAAATGCTCTTGGCACGAATAATAGAAATCGTATGGACTTTTTGAACATTTATACAAGGAATAATTATAATTATTCTTAATAATCATTTATGTCATAAAGCTAAGAAGTGAGTCTTTTTGCTCTTAGTTTAAAGTTTGAATGCCGACGCGTAGCGGAGGTCTACAATTGAGCCAAGCACAAAAATACACTTCTCAGCCGCATAGCATACACGTTTTATCTTCAATGCATAATTTCATTTGTTAAGCAATACATAATACGTACAATTATATAATTATTAAAAGTGAAAAGAGAGGTTAGATTAGATCTATTTTTACAGCCTAGGAGGTTTTTTTTATTGAAAATACAAATACAAAAATACACTTTTCAGACAAATGGCTTAAAACATTTTATCTTCAAGGCACAGTTTTATTTGTTAAACTATACATAAAACGTACTTACAATTATAATAAGTTAATAATTTAAACTATAAAGTTATAACTATAGGTTAGATAGCTTCAGAGTTGTCAGCAGTTATACAGAAGATGTAAAGATGTATGATGTAAAAAACTTCACCTGATTGGTCTAAATTATTTTTACATTTTAGGATATAATCAAATTCTTTGCAAAGACCATGGTAGTGAGTATTGAACCTAATTTTGATCAATAATATAAAATTTACATACCATTCTATATATTATTATCTAAAATAAAATGATCTCTTTGGTTTCAATTTGAATTTTAGGATTGTTTGTCGTCATTTAACATACAAAAAAAGTAGTGCACCATGGTTAAAAGGACCCTGAACGCGGTTATATTTTTTGATTTATTTTTTATGTTTTTTGGACATTTACTTTTTTTTTTAATAGTCGTGCGGCCCTATATAAGTACAGGTAATTAAGAGTGTTGACTTTAAAGAATGTTAACTAATTAGTATTATTAAGGTAACAAATTTCTCTGGTAATGTTATTTTTAATGTAGATTTACTTTTGTACCTTATTGAGGTATTTTCAAAATATTTAAACATATAAATTAATAAAGTAAACGTTAATTAATCAGTTCAACGTTTAAACCCAAACCAATAATTGGTAATTATTACTTCCGAGTTTAACAAAATGAATCAATATATAAAAATAAAAGATAACAAAGAATACGCCGTAGAATTTAATTTATTGGAACCAACTACAAAGTTTACGCCAAATCCTTTATATTACAACCAAACAATGGATCGTAAGGAAGAATATATAACCGAAAAGACTAGCCTTCTAGGAATTATAGAAGAACACAATAGTAAAAAGCGAAAAAGTTGGACAAGTGTAATGTCAAAAATTAATAAATGGGTGAAAAAATTAAAAAGAAATTGTTCTTGTAAGGAAAAATGTTATATTGTAAATAATTTTAGTTTGGAACAAGACCCAAGTGAATATGTTAATTATGAAGAAAATTTGTACTCGTTAATATCAATAAATAAGTTTTCAAAATAAACCAATACCTTTTTACGTATATTTTAAAACCAACCCAAAAAGAACAAACCGTTAAAAAAGAAACATATTAGAGCTCTAGATGGTGTTATAATATTTTTAAACTTAGATAGTTTACTGGTTTGCCGCCTCAATTGGTTGTCCTGTTTAGTATTGTGCATGCGCTTTTTTTTATTAATCGCTCAAACAGTGTTGTAGTTTGCGTGTATTTTACTCAAGTCGGATATTTTCATCCTGTTTGCGACTAAAATATTAAACGGGTAAGGTGGGTATACTAAATAAAGAAATTTTCAGTAAATAATATATATACCTTTTTACTAAATATACCTATTTAATTATTGTACTCTATCATGCATGTTATATATAATTCATTTTGATTACCTAATTTAAAATAGGGCGAATGCGCTATAAAATTTATAAGGATAACTATTTTTTTTTACTTTTGCAGTAAAATCGGGTATTTTGTAATTTATCTGGCAAAACTGCGCTCAAGTACAACCAGAGATGGGTAATTCAATCATTTATTAGTGATCGAATCGATCGGTGATTGATTTCTGAAATGATCGAATCTTTTCAATCGTTCATTCAATCAATCATTTTCCTAAGCGTGCTTAACTATCTGTCGCCACTATTGGCGCATCAGTCGATATTTTGATTCGGTCGCTCCCATCTGATACATTGTATCATTGAACGAACGATTCTGTCGTATCACTATAGTGATTGGAACGAATTGAATGAGCTTTATCGTATCAGCTGTGAATCGGTACTTTTGCAATCGATCGATCAAACCAATTATACGTTTCATTTATATGAATTGATTTCGGCTTTACTAAATTAGGGATTCGATCATTGCGAGCGAACGGGATTCGATCGTTCGAACGATCGAATCCCGTTCGCTTGATTGATCAATACTCTTAAGTGATTCGATCATGATGATTGAATCATTCACGATTGACACATCTCTAAGTACAACGGTTAAACGTTATTCGCATCCTGTGTGTCAGTTGTGAGTTTTTGTTTTAGGTTTAAAAAATAAATAATTATTAATGCATAGTAAAAGCGTTGAGTGAAGAAGTGGGGAAGAGGCATGGTCTAATGAATTTAAAATAACCCCTAACTCGAAAATGAATACTAGGAGGCGCCATAGTCGATTTATAATGAAATTTCGAGTCGAAGTTAGAGTGAGACCGTTAGAGTGAGAGAGTAACAATGTTACTATTATTTTGGGTAACTGTTGCGTTGCATTTTAGTAACATCGTTACATTGCAATGTGACTCCTATTATAATACTGTGTTACGTTAAATGTTGACCGGGAATTGTTTATATTTATTCTTTTGTATTTATTTTTAAGTGCTATTCTATAATATTATTTTAATGTAAGTGTGTGTGGTAAAATACATTGTTTTTAAAGTTAATTAATTTGGTCACCCAACATATTTTGTTTTTGTTATTTAAACATTTAATTTAATTGTACTTTGGCAACAATGGATGATAGATCAAACTGGCTACATTGTGTTTTGTGTCCTTGTTTCCAGACGCATTGTAAAAACGGTTATTAAGTCTGATTTATAGATTGCCTTCCTTCCTTCCTCCCGTAATAGGTGAACAATTCGAAAATTCTACTGCCATTTATAGATTCTCGTACAGGAATCTTTAAACAGCACAACGGTTTTTGTATTGTTCATCTTCTACGGAAGGAAGGAAGGAAGGCAATCTATAAATCAGCCTTTGAATGTAAAAATCTAAAATATTTTTGGGGAATCAACTGCCATTTGTTTAGCATACTATGTATACTGTGTAGCTTTATTAGTTTTGAATATGTGTATAAATAAAACCTAAATACCTATTAGGTAAAGCTCGTCTTTAAACCAATGGAAAATTTAATCTGTGGAAACACATTATAAGAAAATGGCGGACGATACTTTAACCGAACTATCCGCTTTGGAAATCTCAAAACTAAAGGTAAATATTTAATCCCATTAATACTTTTAAAATTATGTAGAACTTGTATGAAAACTATATATGCAATTCAATGTAATATAAAATAACCAATGATTAAGGTTATGTTACCTTTTTTTTTAATTTCAGGTACCGGATTTAAAAAGAGAGTTAAAATTACGCGGCTTGACGACTTCAGGTAACAAAAATGAATTAGTAGAAAGATTACAAGCCGCCATGAAGACTAGTGATTGTGTTGGAGTTGATTCCGTGGATGATCTAGATGAAGACCTTTTAAACGTATACAATCTTAAAAATAATTTTTTGTTTTTCCATTGATTATATTTGTTATTTAGGATGACGATGATGAGCATTTGGAAGGAGATGTGGTAGTTGAAGAGGAGGAAAGCGTCCTAAATGAATCTGTAGCCTCAAAAACCGTTAAAAGAAAAATTAGTGACGCTGAAAGTGATAAAACAGATAAATCCGGACCTCCGAAAAAAGTTATTTTGAATAGAAATACTAGTGTTAATATTGAACCACCAAGAGTATTGACTGAAGATAAAAAGGAGTCTGAATCTGAGGATGATAAAAAGGTTATTAAATTGTCTGAAATGACTGCCAAGGAGAGATTGGAATTAAGAGCCAAAAAATTTGGAGGTGCTCCGCCAGATGACTTGAAAAAAGCAGTTAGAGCTGAGAGATTTGGAAAAGCTCTTAATGGTTCAAATTCAGTGAATAGTATTAAAACTCCTGTGGTAAGTTTAATTAAACAATTTTGTATTTTTTAATACTTTTTTTTACATTTTAGAATACCAGTATTGATGTACTTAAGCAAAGAGCAGAGCGGTTTGGGGGATCAGTATCAACTGTAATGTCAAAGGTAGAGAATCAAGAAAAAATGGAGAAAAGAAAGGCTCGATTTGGTATTGTATCCAATACCAATGGAGCTACAGGTGATAGTGATAAAGCAAAAGCAAGACTTGAAAGATTCAAACAGCCAATTAAATAAAATCATATATTTTGATGATTCCTATTTTTGTACAAACATACTTTTTAGGATAAGTTTTATATGATTTGTAAACGTTTTTTATAATGGAGGATATAAAAAAAATTATTTTTTACTTTTATGTATGTATGTATGTTCACTGTATTGACTGGCTTAATAAAATTACATTAATTGTTGAGTAAAACAAAATATTGATTTCTCTTACCTACCTACATAGATCCTTTTTGACCTATACCTACCTACAATAAACAAATAAGTTTAAACAATTTTTTTTACAAGAAAAAAATCAGTTTTTGTTGGTTCAATTCTTAGCTTACAGTTAGTATATAAGTAATAATGGATTCAATATTAATATCTGATAAAGAAGATTTTGAATATATTTGTAGAGTATGTATACCGGGTGTATCTGAGAATAGGCGCACCCCTGCAGGGGCATGTAACTTTTTTATTTATAAAGATAGACACATGAAATTTTGCATGGTTAATTAGGATATAAAATGCCACTTATAAGAGTACAAAATGAATTTTTTAAACTTCCGGAAATGATACCAACTTTCGATTTTTAAATGGAATGCCCTATGTATTGTAGGTATACAATGTTAATTAACATCGTTTAAACGAAATAATTTTTACGATATCTATAATATATATTAATAAAAAATTGGAATTTGAGGAATTTACAATAGTAAACAATGTTTACTAAACATGCTGGAAAAATGTTTACCTAAACTGGTAAGTATATATATATACCTACTTACCAGTTTAGGTAAATCGTAATTTAAATAAATAATATTGTTTATAAACAATATTTATTTATTTATTTATTATTTATTTAATTAAGCTATATACGTGTATATATATATATAGATATATCTATAGATATATATCTATAGATATATCTATATAAAGGGTGTCCAATTAGGTACGCTCGATGTTTGATAGGCGGCTATGGCTAAGTCAGTACAGACACAGCTGTCAAATATTTTGAAGTTTTGTTGGCATATTATGACATTTGATAATGGAGCGTTAAGCTACATTCGTAATGAATTCGCTGGCCGAGTGACACTTTGGCACGCAAGTCGGCACGAAATTTACCATTCACAATAACTTTATAGTCGAATTTAACGCATGGGCGTTGGTAACTGTCATGTTCTTTGTAAGCATAGAAAACCCCGAAGGTTAGAATCATATGTCTGGTTAGAATTTACATTATTTTGTTTTTGCTTAAGCAATTGGTGTTATTTTTTAAATGCAAAAATGGACAACAATCAATCAAATAGTTTACTTATGTTGTGTAATAGTTTATTGATAAATTCTTATTAAAATGTGTTACAAAACACTAATGTTCTCTTTATAATAAATAATAATAATAATAAAAAACTAGTATACATTAAGTTACATACATACATACATACATTTACATTAACAATGGGTAGTTTATTTAAATAAAGCAAGAAAAATGTATTTAATCACATTAAAAACACTACACACACAAAACTCAACGCCATTGAAAATGTCAAACCACAGAACAACCTTCATAACAAAGGCAATGCGCATGTCCCATAGCCGGCACGAAAGTCGAAGTTGAAGTCGAAGTTTGCAGCTTGCAAGAAATTTTGCCCACTTCAACTTCCACTTTAACGTCGAATTTCATTGTGAACGATCACACTGTTACACATTTGCTTAGCTTGCGAGTCAAATTGCCACTCGGCCAGCGAATTCATTACGAATGTAGCTTTACACGGTTGCTCAACGCATTCAAATTATTCAAATTTACCAACAAAATTAATGTTTAATTCGCCAAACGTTTCAACGGCGTCATTTCACGCGGCGGCGTTATCCAGTGGCCAACGAGATCATGCGATCTAACGCCGCTGGACTTTTTTGTGGGGCTACGTAAAGTCCCTTGTATACGTGAATTAGCCACGAACACTTGAAGCACTGAAGGCCAACATTACTCGTATAATAAATAAAATCGAACCCGAAATGTGCGAAAAAGTGATAGAAAATTTGACCTGCAGAATGCGCGCTGTGGAGCGCAGCCGCGGGGGCATTTGAAAAATGTTATTTTTTTTCAAGCGGCCATGATATACAACCTTATATGCATGTATAGAGATAGTTGAAGTGCGTCTTTTTCATTAGCGGCAGACAAAAAACTCAAAAAAGCCTTGGGATAGAAGTAAATCCATAGGTGACTCAATAAACGTCAAATAATAAAATTAATTTAGCATTTCATACAAAGCAATCACGATGTATTAATTATATTAATTATAATCGCACGGAATATTTAGTGATTATTTATTAAATTTTAATTGAACGAAATAAAGAAAAACTAGTTTATTAGTATAATATTATGATGATAGACGAGTCGCCAATGTCGAAACTTCAAACAAATGTCAGTACGTCAAAATTAATTCAAGCGCAGCATTTTGACAGAGCAGTGTTTAGTTTTAATTTCGGATATTTATCGGCATTGTAAGTAAGGTTTATTAGTTTTTTTAGTTTTTATCAATAATTTCTAATGCTTTTAGCCAAAATTTTATCCCACACGAGTTATGAGTAAAAAAATAATTCTATTGCTTATCCTATTTATATTATGCCCTTGAAAAAAAAATTGTATATGTTATTTGGAGTAGAAGCTCTTTTTGTGCTTCGTACAGTTGCCTGCCTCAGCTACGCTTCGGCCGTCAATCTATGTACTCACCACAAAAAGGGCCACTTCTACTCCTTATAACATAATCTACTATTTTCATAATTAATGCCATAGGATGTTCTTTTAAATAAATATTTTTTTTTCCTAATATCTTAAGTGTAGTTTGTTTTATTTCATTTTAAAGTTAAGTTAAGTGGACACCCTTTATATATGCTCGTATATAGCTTAATTAAATAAATAATAAATAAATAAATAAATATTGTTTATAAACAATATTATTTATTTAAATTACGATTTTTAGATTCTTTTAATGTCAATTATCCCTTTAATATGTGTTGATTGTTAACAATGTTTAAAATCTTCCTTTACTCTATACTTTATAAAAATGAAATGCATGAATACAGAAAACCTACCCTGTTGTAAAGGACTGATTAATTCCTTATAGAAAGTATTGGTTGCAACCATGGTATCAATAGGTCTTAATTGGATGTACTAGGTTAAACCTAGTAGGTTTCATTGGCAGCGATATAAAACAGAAAATGGTTTTTACTGGTATTTTCCATGATGGAAAAGTCCGATTAGGATTTACTGTTTTTTATTGGTTTCGATTGGTTAAGGCTACAAATAGGTAATTTCCAATTGAATTCAATTGGGCATTCCCAGTGTAAGATTCTAGAAAGGAATTCCTTTATTAATTAATCTGCTAATTGGTTATTCCCAATTAATACTTTAAAATATGCAAAAGTCCAATTAGGATTCTACTGTTTTTTAGTGGCTTCGATTGGTTAAAGCTAGCCATAGGTAATTTCCAATTGAATTCAATTGTGAGATTCTAAAAAGGAATCTGCTAATTGATTATTCCCAATACTTTAAAATATCGCAAGACCAATTGGTTAACGTTAACGTATGCAGTCCTTGTTCGAATGGTTGAGACGCCATCATAAAGAAACAAACAAGTCTTTGGACGCTATTTAATGTCGTTTTTTTATTAGTCGGTTTCTTTTATAATCTATGGGTTTCTGTGCTTATTGGTAGTTGTGTACTTATAGTGGTGTGTACTTATACGGTATAAGTTATACCTTAAAAAAAATTTTATGTGTAAGGTTTAGGGACGATGGCGTGAGAACAGCGGACAAAATAAAAAAAATTTACATAAATAATATTGATTTCGACCATGCCTAAAACATCCTTTGCAAGAAAGACAAAAAAATGATTATAACCGAGTAATTTTATTTATTTTTTATTACTTTTTTTGTGTTATAGTTATAGTTATATGTATCAATCCATATCTCACTAACAAAAAAATAATAAAGAAATAAAGTTACTTATAATAATTTTTTGTCTCTTCTGTGAAAAATGAATACTGGTTTTTACCCGGTTATTCTTCTGGGATCTTAATTATTTGAATGAAAAATCAACTGGTATTTTTATTTCAAATTTAAACAAATAAATTGGTTCAAATTGGTTTGAATAGGAATTACCAATTCATTCCATGTGCATTTCTATTGCATTTAGCCAATAGAGACAAGCATAGGCATGTCTCGATTGGTATATTCCAATTTAAGCCGCTGACTTCATTGAAACTTACCAATAGGTATATGATATAAAATTTATTTACACAAAGACAGCTGGGCAGAACATTTAAAATCTTATATTACATAATAAGTAATTAGGTTTATTTCTTAGGATTAATATTTTATTTGTGCCGAATTAAATAATAAATACTTAGTTATATAAAGGATTTGAATTAGTTCTTTGCCTAACATTTCCAATTTCCTTTGACAAAGTTAATCTTCGGGGGTCCAAGTATTCCATGGGCTGAACCTGTATCTGCTGATTTTGTTGGTTTAAGAAGTTTTTTTCTTGTTGAAAAAATGACGATGCTTTGGTTAAATCAATAATAAGTCTTATTGTAAAGAAATATATGATTTCTATCCCGGAAACAAAACTAAATCCAACGAAAAGTCCTAGTAAACCTCCATAATATGCTTTAAAAATAAGAAAATCAAATATTATAACAAACATTCAAAATGTTGACATGCTTAACTTGAAAATCGCAATTAAAATATGCCATTTTCTTATCCATAATTTTTTGTTGCAATTTTCGAGTTTAGCATGATAAAATGTATGGAAAAAATAAAGCGGCAGTAAATGTACATTATAATGTACAGTCAAAGTATACATGTTAGTAGGTAGATATATACAACAACTATTATAATAGTTATAAGGTCAAATATTAGAAAAAGTGTAGAAGCATTAATGAAATTGGCTACATTGCACTACATTGTTTGGTATATGTTTTGGCATTGGCTTCCTTTCTCACAAAGGCACCTCTTCTTGTTTCGTGGTAAATTAGGCCCATTATTCCTATATGTATATATCCACCTTTTTTAGAACGCCCTTGTCTACGCGAAATAAATAAGTTAAAATTAATTTCGTCCAGGTATATAATAGAGGTGTTCTGCTGGATAAATTAAAAGTTTTTGCAAGAAAACATTTGGATGGGTTAAAGTTTAGAAATATTCCTAAAGTTTTATTGTATTTTTTACTGTTGGTTCGTCCGGGCTTCCTGCAATTATCACTTAAAGTAAACATTAAGCCATTCAAATGTTTCTTAAACATTCAACAGTGATTTGATGGTTTACCTCAAATTTAAATTTTAGTTCATTTAGATAGCCTTGGTTTTTACTCTACGTACTGAATAATAAAATAACGATGTTATTCAGAAATTTTGACTCGCCTCCTTCCACTACGTGGTCGCTCGTTTTCCTGGTTCTTTACTCATTGATATGCTGTTGAATTCTTCACACCAAGAGTATTAGCTAGTCCGAGTCGCCATTGTTATTAAAAACAGCACACACAATTTGTTTACGGATATGTACGCTTAGTTTTTCTTAATATGTGGCATATTAGGATACTTTTGGTTGTTTCTTTATTTGTATCAGTTTATGACCAATAACCAATTAAGGCGTCAACTTTTTTACAAAATATTTTTTTCTGAATTTTACGCTGTTTAATTTCAATTTAATAGTGTTTATTCTTATATTGATTATGACTGATCCTAACATGAATGTGATTAGACTTAATTGGACGCCTTTCTGCAGAAAGGAACCAACCCACAAAACCAAAAAAATCGAGATATTTAGCCTATGAACTAATTAAGTGTGTATAATTTATCTGCAAAATTGGTCATAGCCAAAATGCAAGTGTAGTGAAATCTATTAATCATTGAACCAACCAACATTCAATAATAGTGTGGATTACTAATCCAGAATTAGAATCTGTAGAATATCTGCAAGTGGGTTGGATCTTTTTTGTAAAAAAGCAGGCTGGTAGACCCACTACCAAAGTCTTTAAAGATTTCCTGCTTCTGCAAAATATAAAGTCTTGATGCATTTTTTTGGTAGCTTACAAGATGAAGTGGGGTTGGAAGATGATGTGGACGAATTTCAAATAGAATCAAAACTAATTCATATTACCATTATAATAGTAATATCAGTTGTATTTTGTTTGGAAATAAATAATTGTCGCTTTTCTTTAAATACATACATACATCAGATAGTAGTTTTCATAAATTGCAGAAAGGAACCAACCAACAAAAGCCCATTTTTTTCGTCACCCTTACACATAACATCACAAAATCCACCTGATGAAATTATTAAATTATATCCCTTAAACCTCCGTAAGTCCAAAATCGGCATAAAATTAGCAGGTAATTTTAAAATTATTAAAATCTTTGATAGCTTTTTTCTCAGTTTCATCATGGTGTGGGTTGGTCCCATTCTGCAGAAAGCCGTCCAATTTGAAACTGAAGTTCAAAAGTGTTTGTTTGCAAAATTGTTGGCTTTTAAGCATTAAAAATAATGGACTCGTTACACTCGTGGTTTAAAAGACTCTTTTTGCAACGTATTGAATTAATATCTATTTTACCTACCTAAAAGTGTATGCCAGCTAAAGGTGACATCCCTTCTATTTCTGGTGGCTACCAGATCATCAAAAAATACTCTAAACACACTTTGATTGTCAATTTTGAAACCTGCACTAAAATTTTTATAAATCCTTTGCTTTAACATCAATATTTTTATTATCTTACTATAAATTATTTGGATTAGTTGCATACTGGCTCATTAATCTTCCACTTGATGTTTGTGCAATATACTCTACGTATTCACAATCGGGTAAACAATTACACTTATTTTCAACGTTTTTTTGTGCCAATTCAACTGACCCATGAATCATAGCTAAAAATTATGTAAATAAGTGCAATAAGTTGCAATAAGTTGCAACGAATTGCAATCAAGTTTTTTGTTACAGCGTTTTTTAACAGATTTTATATACGAGGTGTGTTCAGAAAATATCGGGAATTTTAGTTTTTTGAAACAAATATTTATTTATTCGTCTACATTAATGTTGTCCCCTTCAAAATAGTCCCCATTGGATATTATGCACATGTGCCAGATCTTCTTCCAATACTCGAAACACTTTAGTTCTTTCACCGATGCGCTTTTAATGTCATAGCTATGCTTGCAAAACGACGGCCCTTTAAGGTACTCTTTATTTTTGGGAATAGAAAAAAGTCAGACAGAGGCATTTCTGGCGAATATGGAGGCTGGGAAACATTACAGTATTGTTTTTGGCCAAAAATGTTGTTCAAAATTTAACAATTTTAGAACAAATTTTGCTGGCACGCGTTTCATACCCAAAACATTCGAAAAAATTTCATGCGATGAGCCAATCGATATACCAACATCATCAGCGACTTCTCTGATGGTTTATAACCATTTCTTCCACTTTTTTCATGTTTTTATCGGTTGTTAATGTGATTGTGCGTTCGGGGCGTTCGTCATCTTCAACGTCTTCACGGCCATCTTGGAAACTCTTATACCACTTGTAAACTTTTGGTTTACTTATAGCAGACTCACTATAGGCCTTTAACATTTCACAGAATTTATTTCATTTTTTAAGCAAAATTGGATACAAATTCTTTGATCCATTTCTTTTAACGAACGAAAAATCGCCGAGCTCATAAAACACGTCTAACCTTAGCGGCTGCCACAAACAAAGTAAACAATGAAAACAGCTAAAGTTTTTATCATACTTCGGGGGCATGTATACCAACATAATAAAGAAAATTTTATGACAACCGGACCCTCCGAACCCGCGAAATTTAACAATTCCCGTTATTTTCTGAACACACCTCTTACTCCCAGATTGACAAGCTCTGACTTTATGGCGTTTTAGTCACGGGCTAAAGTTATCAACACTGGCTTTCTTTCTTTTTAGACACTGGCTGAAGTAAGCTTTATTATAAATGGGTAAAAAGTGAGGTTAAATTCATCTGACGATGGTCAGATGTCAAATTTGTAACAAATAAAATTGGCTTTAAATTCTTCTTCGTGTTCGTCGTAGATAAAGTATATTATGTTACTCGTTTATAAACTTTTCTAGAAACTCGTTTTTATTAAATACTCGCTTGCAAGCTTTGCTGATGACTAATTAAAACTCGTGACTTAAACACTAGTGCATGCTTAGAGTGACAATCAAAACTGTTATAAGACGCTTTAAAAACGGTTGGCTCACGTTTATATTTTATAAGGCAATATAGATCTCTTAAATCGCAATTTCTTGATTTAGGATAATTTCCGTTTTTATAATGAAAAATTATAGGAATGCACCCACAGTAGTTTAGCGTCAGATTTATTTTACATTCAACTATGCAATTGTGGTATGTATACCCTTCAAAGTTAGGCAGCTTTCTTTCATTAAACAAAAGACAATTTCGTTTTTCGATGTCTAATTCCTTTAGACTGTTAGTAGAGTATGTTAGAGATGGGACGATATCAATATGGTTAAGCAGACGATTTTCTGTGAGTACTGTTTGAACTGAAGAAGCCGGAAAATAATACGAATTATGTATTAATACCTATAAAATATAAAATAAGATACAAAAATATATTTTGGGTCAAAATCACCAAGGTAAAAAATTTGGATCCAAATGGAGAAAGTAAAACAGCACCCATTGATGCTGTTGTCAAAGTAACCCGTAATGTTTTATTAGAAATTGTATTATTTTAACTATGGTTTCGCGTAAAAATCGAACAAATTTTGGACATTTGTTTGCAAGTGATGCCAGAATTGAATATATTTTTGTTAACTTGTTTGTACATCTAAATGGTAATTTTTTTTCAAAAAAAAAATTTCATCCATTGACCCCTGTGGTTTTCAGGCCTTAAGTCACTCTACTGTGTTAAAAATAGATAAATTTCGATATTTTGTAATAACATTTTTATTTAAAAACGTATCGATTTGAAATTAAGATAAAATGTAGACCTTATTAGTGGCAATAAATCCACGTATTATTTTTTTTAGATTTTAATATACAGGGGGCACGGTGGACAATTTAATTTAAAATTTTACCATTTTTTAAGGGTTAAAAAGTCGAAGAAGCAACGTTGTTTTATAATTTTGAGTATATCACGTTAAAGTACTGATAATTAACTATTATTTGATATATAAACTTCTAAATGCAAATTATGTTTCTACAAGAGACACCATTTTTAAGTTAAGCCTTCAAAGAGCGTAATACTAACGTGTTTTACAAATTATAAATTGTTTTAACTAGTTTTATAAGATAATGTATTATATATTACATACAATATTTTATATATAACATACAATTCTTACATATTTATTTAAAAAAATCGCCATAGATGGAGCTAAAATTAGTTTTATTTATACATTTTAAATTTTATTAAGTTTACTAATTTTGATCATAGTAGGCATCACAGACTTATCTCTATGGTAACCTACCATTGGAAGCATGAAAAATAATTTAACAGTTCAGTTTATAAGTTGCAAATGACTGATTGCGTTTCAATTTATAAGTGTACTATAAACTTAAAATATTAATTTATTAAAATGAATACACTAAATAATAATTATAGACAGTATCAGCAAGTTAGAAATTATAACCTACTTTAATTTTATTTTTTGCTCCACAACCAAGCTTCAATTTATGTTTTACTCGATAAACAAGCTTCAATTTTAATTCCTAACTAAGGAAAGTAATATTTACCCAATAAATAAATTAGAATAAAGACTTTTTATGTTGCAATCGGCTATTTAGATATAACTATATTTTTATTCATTTGTTTTTCGATTTTTTGTAATTAGTTATTTTGCATTTTTTTATATTTAATATAATGCTATACAGGGTGTTTCTGGAGAAACGCAAACGGTATGGATTTGAAATTTTAATAGAATATACAATTTGATTTAGACTATACATAAAGTCAATAGTTTTCAAGATATTAATTTTTTTCGTTAAAATGCACGTTAATCAAAATAGCCTCTAATTTGTTTGTTATTATGTTTGTTGACATGGGGTTGGAATTTTTGGAATATTAAAACATTGTTTAGTTTTTTAAAGGTTTTTCAACAAATACCTTGAGAAAAACCACTTGAAATTAGGGAAACTTCAAACAATAACAACGTTTTTATTATAAATGTAAAACCCTGTATGTTTTAACATAATCAAATAAAACATTAAAGAATCTTTCGATTGGTATTATAGTAACTCTTTCCTAAAGTTAAAATTTCAGAGACATTTAACAATTTCTAATATTCAATACTATTTTGTATCAACAAACCTCTGAAATTCTACATGTGGTTTAATGTAACAGTATCCATGGTTACCACCAAATCTGTCATTGTTTAAAATTAATTAAAATATTTGATTGAAAAAATAATAACTCAAAAAATATTGACTTTAGGTATAGGATATGGTATAGCCATTTTACTCAGAATTTTATGTAGAATTAAATAATGTAAAAATATATGAGGTATTCCGGTAAAACAGGAAGTATTATTTTGTTTAAAATAATTTAGGAAAGCGAATACTTTACGCTATTAAAATTTTAAATCGATGTCTCGCGATTCCCTAGAAACTTCCAACGGACTAAGTACGTGAAACACCCTGTATATTAAACGTCATTTATGTGTTATGCTTTACTTAATTATTAATAAAAGACATACAATATTTGTATAAAAATGACAAAATGTACTAAACTAAGCATTTATGAATACTGCTACTGCTAATTCAAAACTGATCCTGGCCACAGAAACATCATTTGCATAAAAAAGTTAATATATCAAATAATAGTCAAATATCAATACTTTCACGTGCTATACTCAAATTTATAAAACAAAGTTGCTTCTTCGATTATTTACCCTTTAAAAATTGTTAAATTTTAAACTAAATTATTACCAGCGCCCCCTGTACGTTATAATCTAAACAAAATTTTTTCATGGATTAATTGTCATTAGTAAGATCTACATTTTGTCCAAATTTCAAATCGATACGTTTTGAAATAAAAAAGTTATTTAAAAAAAATGAAATTTCTTCATTTTTAACACAGCGAAGAAAAAAATTAAAATAAAAACAAAGTTGTCAATGGACGAGATTTTTTTTTTGAAAAAAGTACTGCATTAAGATGTAGAAATAAGGTAAAAAAGTTTCAATCGATTTCTTGAACCCTTGCAAATCGACCGTTCGATCCTTTCGCGAAACCGTAGTTAACTGACACACACTGACATTAACAATGATATTGTATATTAAGTTGATTAGTGTTCTGCACATTAATGGTTAGTGTTTTGTGATTAATGGTACCTAGGTAACTGTTTTATTTTCTTCGTGTAATTTTTTTTAAATGTTTAAATATTGGTTAAACAATAACTTGGACATATTAGTATTGTACAGGGTGGTCCACGTAAGGTGACCCATATACTTATCTCAGAAACTACTGGAGTCACAAAAAATTTGTAAGAAACAAAAATTCACGAAGTAAAAAATATTTTTAAAATATTATATTTTCATTTATACAGGGTGTTCGGTTTTCCTTGGGACGATACCAACTTTCTTATTTTCAATGGAACACCCTATATTTTTTTGCATTTTTGGATTCTACCCACTCTTTTAGGTATACTTTGTAAATATATTAATTAAGAAAATGTTAATACTTTTTGAGTAAAATTAAGATTTATTAAAATTTCTCTAAATGTAGACACTCGCTAAAAGTTAAAAATAATCAACTAAAAGTTATTATTTTTTATATTATGTAGTATCCATCTATTTAATAATAAGTAAGCTATAAGTTAATTATTATATTTTTTGAAAAATATCATACAGGGTGTTTTCTATGTCCCGTTGAAAATAGCGATTTTAAAAGTTTAAAATCTTGTTTTTCTTCAATGGAACACCCTATATATTTTTGCATAATTGGATAGAATAAGTAATTACCTTTCATTTTATATATATTTGTCCTATACCTAAACCTAACAGAAAAAAAAATATTCGCATTTTTCACAATTAGTAGCTTTTTTCCAATTACCTTAGTTAAATTTTCATTATTCAAATAAATAAATTTCAATAACAACAAATAAAAATGCTTTTATATATAAATATATATTACTATAATAATTACCATACGCGCAAAGCTACTAATTTTGTAAATGCGAATATTTTTTTAGGTGATCCACGTAAGGTGACCCATATACTTATCTCAGAAACTACTGGAGTCACAAAAAATTTGTAAGAAACAAATATTCACGAAGTAAAAAATATTTTTAAAATATAATATTTTCATTTATACAGGGTGTTCGTTTTTCCTTGGGACGATACCAACTTTCTTATTTTCAATGGAACACCCTATATTTTTTTGCATTTTTGGATTCTACACACTCTTTTAGGTATACTTTGTAAATATATTAATTAAGAAAATGTTAATACTTTTTGAGTAAAATGAGGATTTATTAAAATTTCTCTAAATGTAGACATTCGCTAAAAGTTAAAAATAACCAACTAAAAGTTATTATTTTTTATATTATGTAGCATTCATCTATTTAATAATAAGTAAGCTATAAGTTAATTAATTTATTTTTTGGAAAATATTATACAGGGTGTTTTCTTTGAATAATGAAAATTTAACCAAGGTAATTGGAAAAAAGCTACTAATTGTGAAAAATGCGAATATTTTTTTTTCTGTTGGGTTTAGGTATAGGACATATATATATAAAATGAAAGGTAATTACTTATTCTATCCAATTATGCAAAAATATATAGGGTGTTCCATTGAAGAAAAACAAGATTTTAAACTTTTAAAATCGCTATTTTCAACGGGACATAGAAAACACCCTGTATGATATTTTCCAAAAAATATAATAATTAACTTATAGCTTACTTATTATTAAAGAGATGGATACTACATAATATAAAAAATAATAACTTTTAGTTGGTTATTTTTAACTTTTAGCGAGTGTCTACATTTAGAGAAATTTTAATAAATCTTAATTTTACTCAAAAAGTATTAACATTTTCTTATTTAATATATTTACAAAATATACCTAAAAGAGTGAAAAGAATCCAAAAATGCAAAAAAATACAGGGTGTTCCATTGAAAATAAGAAAGTTGGTATCGTCCCAAGGAAAACCGAACACCCTGTATAAATGAAAATATAATATTTTAAAAATATGTTTTACTTCGTGAATATTTATTCCTTACAAATTTTTTGTGACTCCAGTAGTTTCTGAGATAAGTATATGGGTCACCTTACGTGGACCACCCTGTACATATATTAGTTTTATCTACAGTTTGTAATATTTACAATACATTTAAATTGCAAAATTTAATCCATTAGTGATTTTGACCCTAATAAATAAAATTTACACTGTGGCCTATTGAAGGAATTCCTGTTAAAAAGTAGTTATTTGGATCATTACTTAAAAGTATTTCCAACCCTGTTTGGTATCCACACGCCGATACTCTTCTGGGTAATTTTGGGGATTTATATGATAAATTCCTATAAAAACTATCAAAACCTATTATATTTAAATTATTGTTTAATAATTTACCCTGGATATATAGGATTTCTCATGGCAAAATAATTAAATGCACAACAGAAACCTTGACTTGTGGGTATCATTTGAAATATAATATCACATCTTTTTTCTTCCCCTTTCCACCTGCATCTTTGTAGACTTTCTTCGCATGTTGGTGCCAGATATCTTAAAACATCCAAAGGTTTTAGTTTTTTGTTGTCCAAAATGCTTTGTAATTTGGAAAAAATTTGATGGGGAATTGACAAAGCTTCAGTCTGAACTAGTTGATAAAGTAAACGTAAATTAAGGGCCATTTCATTTATGGAGGGTTCATCGGAGGATTCAGATCTACAAATATTACTATAGAATAATATATATATTTTAAAGAAAATTTACATATTTTTGGCTAGTTCGTACACTCTGTTTTTATTAAGTTTGTTGTAATTGCAAACTGTAACAGCCGGAAATGGGTAATTCCATATTTGATTTTGCGTAGAATCAGTTAAAACAAAAGTTCGGTTTTCTTGAAAACTAATCCAAGCTAAACAAACAAGCGTTATTCCAAAAATAAATGCCAATGTCACCAAAATTACCCATACAACTCTGGAAAATTTTTATGTACATTAATTATCGGCCGCTAATTTCTACTTATCATAATATTGATTAAAATTTAAATAACTTTCCAACCACATATTCTCTATCGCCATTTTTAGTCTTTAAATTTGGCTATTAATATTATATAATTATAACATGCTGTATCATAATTATGATACAGCATGTATCATAATTATGATACAGCATGTTATAATTATATAATATATATATATAAGCCAAATTTAAAGCCTAAAAATGGCGATAGATACATTAATGTATGATTTATAGAACTCGTGCAAAAAGAGGTCCAAAAGGGGTTTCTTGAAATTTTCGAAAATGAAATTATTAACTTTTCCTCAAATAACATTAAAATAAATATATTCAAGAACAAATTAGTGCCAAGTACATTCTTTAATCATTAAACTTTAATGATATTATTAAAAGTACCTAGTATAGTATAGTATACTATAGTATAGTAATACTAGCAAGATGTTACATGTAACGTATACATATGTGTTCATTAGATAGGTACAAATTAAATGAGTATACTATAATAGTATACTCATTTAATTTGTACCTATCTAATGAACACATATGTATACGTTACATGTAACATCTTTGTGAGTACGTACGTACGTACATTCACAAAAGGTGTACAAAATGCATTTAGATATTATTTAATTGTCTCTCCCGAAAATATCCGACAATATTGAATGCTTTGTGTAAGACTTGCAGAACCACTTTAACTACGATATATGGATAACAGGCCCAAAATATGTATAGTTTATATAATAATAATAATAATAATATTAATAATAATAATAATAATAAAAAGTCTTTATTTAGTAAATAAGTTAATTGTTGGGCGAAGTCTAGCCAAGGCTACTCACTAGGTAACTTATTCTAACCAACTGTTATTATATAGTTTCGTTGGTGAAAATAATAGGGGTAGCTCAAAACTTCGAGATACGATTTTTTATTTTTATCTGTTAACTAAACTTATCGGTATAGACGTCGAAGTAAAAACATATTCGACTTTTCTGCAATTTTTGAGTAAAATTTGAGATCAGGTAAAAAAAAAATCGATCTGGAATTCGACAATTCTCTTTGTTGTATTTGAGTTGTATTTGTTTTATATAATATATATTAAAGGCTATAAAGACTAATTACACTGGTTTACAAATTAAAATTAAAAAAATGTACCTTCGCTGCCACTATTTTTTTCTAATGTATTGTGACCTGTTAAACTTAAAAATCACAAAAAAAAAATTTTATGGCAAGGTTTTTGAGATAAAATTTTTTCTTTAATATTTTGATTCTTTAAGAAAGCAGCTTTACAATTTGGGTCATATCTCGGGTTAGAAATGGCCAATCTGGTTGAAAAAAGTTTAAAATTAAACATATTTGAGTCGCCAACAAATATCACCTTATTAGTACCCAATCAGTTAATAAGCTTAAGTTCAATGGGCTCAAATATTGGAAAAAGTAGTTTTTTTTGGAGAAAAATGAGAATGTAACATTATTTTCTTTGCCAAGGATGAATACAAATCAACAAAATATGTCAATTTTTAAATTATCTACGTGGAGTTCAAACTGTTATAAAGAAAACAAGATATTTTTAAAACAAATCTATTGATAATTATTATAATTAAAGGGGTTAATGCAAAAAGTGGACAGGTAAATTTTTTTCCGAAATTAAGTTTTTTACAAAAAAAAGGTTCTATTTGCCTAATAGAACCTTTTTACTGTTAAATAAATTTTATTTTATATTTTAATATTAAAATACAGTGTTCCTTTTAAAACTAACCCCCCTAAATTCTCGGAAACTAGAAGTATTTTAAAAAACGCAGAGACAGGTAAAGTTTTATATCGAGGGGGAAAACTTTTTAAGGCAAAATTTGGTTTCCCACCTTTACCTTCTGCGCCCCGGAGTTACCCCCTTAAGAATTTAAATAGAGAAGGGGTACAGAGTACTACATTATTTTAAAGGTCTTGAAAATCCCTATTAAACGGCATTTTATTTTTTTTAAATTGGTCAGTTCATTTTTTAGATATGTACAAATTATTAAGGGGAAAGCTCCTGGGCATAGAGGATAAGGGTGGGAAACCAAATTTTGGCATTAATAGCATTAATGGCAAAAATTTGTTGTCTCCCTCGATATAAAAGTTTATGTGTCTCGTGAGTTTTCAAAATTCTTTTAGTTTCCGAAAAATTCAGGATGTTTCATTTTAAATGGAACACTCTATATATCATTATAATATAATTTAATATACAATACTATTGTAAATTAAAAATAATTTAGGTTTTTAGATTGCCTTCTGTTTTCGTTATCTGATTCCCTTACAAGGAACCAAATATAATCCCCCATCATTCTTTCATTCCAAAAGCCCTGATAGCGCCGCTCCATGGATTTTATTTCTTGATGAAACCTTTCACCATGCTCATCACTCAGGTCACCAAGATTTTTGGGAAAAAAATGTAAGTGGGAATGGGCATATTTTAATGATTTTTGCTTCTTTTTGGTAAAATAGTAAATACTTAATTCTAATTTTGTCCAAAAAATTGACTTTTTCTCGATATTTGGCCCCATTGCACCTAAACTTATTGACTAATTGGGCATTTATACAATTACATTTGTTATTATGTTAATTAGGTTTAATTTGACATCTGTTGTAATCAAATTGGCCATTTCAAACTCGAGATATATCCCAAATAGTAAAGCCGGCATCGAAAAATCAAAGACAATTTTTTATTTGGAAAATCTTGCCATAAAAAAAATTTTTATTGTCATTTTCGAGTTTAGCAGGCCAAAATACATCAGAAAAAAATAGTCGCACTCAAGGTACATTTTGACTGTAAACCAGTGTTAACAGACCTAAAAATAACATTTTTAAATATTTACCTTTCCAATAAAATCCTTTTTGGCAGGACAATAAAACGATATCCGTGCAAAGACGTGTTCATGCAAAATTGTTTAGCTTCATATTTTATCATGTCACCGCATCCTTTTTGTTTCTGTGGTTGCGGTAAAAAGGTTTTTACATTTTTGCCTAACATTTTAAAAGCTTTAACTTTTGTGTCAAGCCTAGCAGCGTAGTCTTGTCTATATAATAAAATATTTAACACACCACACAGGATGTAGATTAAAAGTTTACATTGCGTGATTAAATAGTGATAAATTGAATGTTTATTGATTTTAGGTTTGTAGTAGGTAAAAAATGTTATAAATACCTACCTTTAATTTACATTGTGCGATGTTAAAGAAAAATTAAACATTAAATAGGTATACATTTTTAATTAAATTCGATACACGACGATTGTTTAGATTTAGGTAATTAATATTAGGTACGATGGGGGTAAGGTTTAGGATTGTTTTAAAATATTACATCGGGGAAGAAATTTGAGGTACAGTTTTAAGAGTATTTGATGTCATTGGCGCCCTAACCCTGCTCTGATATACCGTACTTTCATTTTACATGTAGACAGGCCGCATTTGGTTTTTAAGGGTGCGAGAATAATTTTTAAGAGTGGGAAACGAGAAGACTCTCGGACCGAGAGACGGTTTTTGTAATTCAGCATTAAGTTAATTTACTTTTAAAAATAATTCTGTAAGGTATTTTCGTAACACGATTCTTTAAGTATACTGAAATACTTATTTTCGCATATTAATTTGGGCCCCCGTAAAAATTTATATGGACCAGTGTAATTATTTACAAAATGCAACTTTTTAATTTTTTTTTCGAATTAAAACCGTGTGTCCATATATATTAAATATGGATAGGTACCTACACTGTTTTATTTTTACACAAATTTAAATTTTTATATTTATTAAATATAGATATACAGCTTTTATTGGACACAAATTTATATTTTTATATGAAGCAGTCGTGGCCGAGCGGTTAAGGCGTCTGACTAGAAATCAGATTCCCTCTGGGAGCGTAGGTTCGAATCCTACCGACTGCGGAATCTCTTTTAGAATATTTTGATTAAAATATTACAAGATGATTTTTTAACATTTCTAAACACCAATAAAAACTATCAATTTCAGTCATACATAATTTTAGCCAATGAAAACATTATAGTGGACATTTTTTACTTTTCTACTACATTATTGCCGGGAGAATTATTTGAAGTATTTTTTGACTTCCTTCATAAGGCATTGTTGGGCAAAGTTGATAGGATAAAAAATAATCCAACGATATCAACACGAGAGTCAAATCATTTTTAATTTATTTTTACCCTCTTGTGATATTACTAAAAATATGTGAAACATGCTCAAAAACGTACCGGTTTTCCTAAAATAAACAATAAATTTCGATTGTTTAAACCTTTAATAATTAACAATTATTGTTTTAAAACCATAATCAGCGTACTTTAGTATAAAGTTCTTAAACTATGTTTAAATCATTCTCAAACTCGTAAAAGCAACAAAAAAATATTTTAACTATTAATTAAATAATAACAATGTCTACTTAAAATGTTTACTCACAATCCACATTGTGTGTTTACTTACTTACATTTACTTAACGAAGGCAAAACCACACTTTTTTAAACTGTAAGTAAATAATAATTATCATTAAATTTTAAACAAAAAAGGTCTCTTAGATTATTGTCATGACAATAATAAAATTTTAAATTATAGTCTTCAAAATGTTAAGTTGTATGCATACAACTTAACATTTTGAAGACTATAATTTAAAATTGTATTATAATAATATTATAAAGCTATAAGTAATATTTATATTAACCAAGAGTGAGCCATTAAAATAAGTAGGCACATAACCGTAAAACAATTACATAACAATGTTATGTTATGTTATAACATTGCTTGAGCTTTGTAGGTATACAAAAGTTCAGAAAAATATTTGTCTTTTATAACCTTCTAACATTCGTCCTTTTTTGGTAGGTAACAGAGAGGACACAGAATCGTTGATAATAATAATTACGATCATAGCATATATTTAAAGCTTTCCTTTTTAATAAAACACGTTTGAAAGTCACATAAGTATTCACAACACTCTCTTATTAATTTGTGAAACTTATTATACCTATATCAGGTGTGAAAACATTATGGAATCTTTGGTAGTTTGGAGCAACGCCTATTATATATACATAATAATACATATATTAATACATATTATATGGAATTATTTATGAAGCGGTTTCATAACAACTCCATACTATGGAGTCCATATGCATTGTTCCAAACTAGCACAGTTTCATTGAAGCTATGATATACCTACAAAAACAAATTATTTTAGTTTGTGTTATCGTAAAAAAGAATAAATATTCTTTAAATCCATGTGTAAAAGTTAACATTTTCTGAAAGTTAAATATAGACTTGCCACATTCACTTTTTAATCTAATTTTAAGAACTACAGGCAGGTGTATTTGCAATCTGCAATCCCTAAGGTGTTTGAAACGCAGTCATAAATTTTCTACTGAGCTCAGTAAATAATAATAATATTAATAAATAATAAATATTAATCAATTTTGGTAATAAATGTATATTAAATAAAAATTATGTACAATTTAAAAGTAATAAAAATATACAATAAATAAAATTAAAAAAAAAAATGGATAGAAAAAATAACCTTTTATGGAGACGTGGTTTATTTGGCTTCTTCTTTACTATAAAAACTCTAAAAAGGAATTATATTGTATTTTTATTTATATAAAGGACCTTTATTAAATGTTGTCCGCAAACTCCGTTCCAATATATCAAGGCAATATTCTACATTTGAAAACATTAAAAAAGTTCAAATGAATGTTACAGTAGGACCTTAAAATTTTTATTATACAACACATTTAAAACAAAATATTTCGAGGATATTTTTACACAAAAAAGGTATTCTTCTAAAAAATAATTGGGCTAATAGTTTGGGAAAAAGTATTATCGAATAGCTTTTAAATTAAAACATCAAAGTATACTTGACTATAGTCAATGACGAAATAGTATATTACACTACAAGGGCCGAAAGTTGAATTTTCAACGTTTGGCCCGTGTGGTGTATACTATTTTACTTCATACAACGGTCGAAAGTACTTACTTTCGTCCCTAATAGCAGGGATGAAAGTTTACCTCGGTTAAATTTAAAGAAGTATAAAATACCTATGGTTAATATAATATATTATATATGGGTTAATATTTTAATATTAAAACAATTGACGACGTTTTCGTCATTTGTTGAAGTTATCAAGTGCAAAGTACTAGTAGGTCACTTTTGGACGCCCATAGCGTTCTCTTTAAGGACATTAAAGGGCCTACTTTCATGTTTTCATATGTAGAATATAAATAAACATAAGAGTTTCCGGACACCCTGCATACACCGTGTCCAAAGTTATCTGCTCACCATTGCTAACTAACCAAAATTGTTTTTAACATTTTAATCAGAAGAAAAAATGCCACCAACTTGCTACTTTAACCGACTTTGTAGCTCCAATAATATCGGAAACAATGAGTGGATAACTTTGGATACGGTGTATGTATTTAAATAATTTACCTTTTCTGCTATTTCAGCTAAATGTTCGGACATAGATTTTCCAGTTTGCCTCACCAATCCATAAAATATTCCATGTATATCCTGCAATAGCATAAAAGGATGACCGAACTGGGCCACCCTACCTTCATCCATGACAATAACCTTATCGGAATCCATGACAGTATGCAAACGATGAGCAATGGTTAAAACGGTACATTGTGAAAATTTAGTTCTTATCGTGTTCTGAATCATAGCATCGGTTTTTGGGTCTACATTGGCAGTGGCTTCATCCAATACCAAAATGTTATTTTTTCTTACTATTGCTCTGGCGAGGCAGATAAGCTGTCTTTGGCCAACGCTGAAATTTGAACCTCCTTCAGAAACCTTACTGTCTAGACCTGAGGGAAAATCTGACACTACAGCCTTAAGTTCGACTTCCTCTAAAGCGCTCCATAAATCCGAGTCTGTATGTTCACTAAAAGGATCTAAATTCGATCTTAAAGTACCAGAGAACAAAACAGGTTCTTGTGGAATAATTGATATTTTGGATCTTATACTATGAAGGGGTAAATCTTTCGTGCTTATACCATCAATAATAATTAACCCTTCAAAATCTGCCAATCTAAATAAAGCAGATATAATTGATGACTTTCCTGCTCCGGTTCTGCCAACTATTCCAACTTTTTCACCGGATTTAATATCGAATATAAGATTATTTAACACGAATGGATCGCTAGGTCCGTATTTCAGATAAACAGACTTAAATTCAACGTTGCCTTCTTTTGGCCATGCATTTTGAGTTAAGGGCTTATCAGCAGCCCCTTCCTGATGTATGTCTGTAAATTCCACTATCCTTTCTACCGAGGTCATGCAGTTTTCCAGTTCGCTCCATTGTCGCATACCCCATTGAAACATTCCTGTTAGGGACATGGCTTGAGTTATTGCCAAACCAACATTTCCCCCATAAGCTTCTAAAAATATATATTTAATTTTGTCATTTTAATTCGCATTCCTGTTTAATATAGGATGCGATATTTTAATAATAAAGTTAACAAAAATAGAATTGATTTCTATATAAAAATAAAAATGATAATAAAAAATTCTTACCATCGCCAAGGAAGAACATACTGAGAGTGATTAGTGCCAAATATATAACACAATGGAAATCCAACCAAAAACCAAACGTTCTGTTGCAACTCACAAACAAATAAAAAGCTGAACTGTGTAGATCTTGGTGAGTATCAAACTCTTTTTTAAGTACCTCTTGAGCACCATATGCTCTTATGGTGGTCAAACCTTGCAGTGAAGCATTTATGTGGGAAAAAACTGGACTACGTGCTAAAAATATTTATTATAATGTTATATAGTGATTATAAAATATTTATTAGTTTACTTGTAGCTTCCATTCGTTTAATATTTCTACTAGAAGCCAAATATATTGATCTATATACATAGAACAACCCTAGTATTATCATAGTAGATATCAATATCCAGGGGTTGACTAACGCAATGATAACGTTTATAGCTATAACGTTCATAGCTATTTGCATTGTATCTATCATAACGTATGGTAAAACTTCATCCACTGCACCCATGTCTTTTGAAAATCTATTTAATATTCTTCCAGTGGAGTTGGTGTTAAAAAATTGCATGGTACCTTTAATAACTTTGTGGAACATTTTATTGTGGAGTTTTGTTGAAGCCTTCATGCATAAAGCATAAAATGACATTGATCTTATTAAAATTGCTATAATTACGCCTCCTACAGTAAAAGAGTATATATAAAAACAATGTTCTGTAGTAAAAAATTGGTCAATTTTTTGCTGTCTCAATAAGCGGTCTCCTAAAACTGTTTCTACTTCTTCTTCAACTAATACATCGTCAAAGTATGATCTATAGAATGTATCATTTACTATTTCGTTTTCCAGTCTGGTTTGCTCAAGATTTACCCTAAAATATAATAGTTATTTATTGCACGTGTAGTTTAAAAAGCAGTTTAAACACGCATAAATACACTGAAAGAAATATATGTTTGTTTTAGCAATGTATGTGGTAGTCCATATATGAAACATAAAATATATTTACCTTAACCATTTTTATATTTAGTTTTAACATATTATGTTAAAACTAAATATAATATATGTTTGTTTTAGCAATGTATGTGGTAGTCCATATATGAACCACATAGATTGCTAAAACAAACATATATTTCTTTCAGTGTATTTAGAAACAAGGTCGAAGACCGAGTGTCTAATTTTGTTAAGTGTTTAATTGATTGTTGATTCATGAGTGCAATACAACGTTTTATCCACAATTCACATATTACTTAGGACATAATTATGCGATTCATTAGATGTCCACAAAAAACAAAAAGCCCTAGAAGCGTGTACAGTTGCTGCTTAGGAAGTCAAAGCTTGCACACGAAAAAGAATGTGACAAATTTAAAAAAGGAGAAGAATAAATGTTAAGTCATGACAGAGTGTGCTGCTGGCATATTTACTTAATAGGAGGCATAAATTTGAATCCTCCTCAATGTGGACAAATTATTTGATGCTTTTATGTACCCTGTAAGTACACGAGAACGTCGAAGTTTCGAAATTTTATAAGCTGACCGTTTTTGAAAAGTAATTCCCGAACCAAAAAACCAAAGAAATGTACTTAGATTCAATATTAATGTAAATTTGAATCTAAATGAATAAATAGTTTTATCTACTCCTACATTAACGAACTGTGACTTTATGGAGTTTTAGTCACGGGCTAAAGTTAGCAATAGTGGCTTTTGGGCATTTTAGTCACGGGCTGAAGTTAGCTTTATTATAAATTGGGGAAAAGTGAGGTTAAATCCGTTGACACTTTACAGATGTCAAATGTTTAATAAATTAAATTCTTCTTTGTGTTCATCGTGGGTAAAGTATAGTATGCAACTCGTTTTATAAATTTCAATAGACACTCGTTTTTATTAAACACTCGCTTGCAAGCTTCGCTCGTGATTAATAAAACTTGTAACTAAAATGGCATTTATAAAATTTGATACATAATATACTATTATAAATTATCATAAAACACTAGTGTCTTATGAATGAAGTACAAGACACTAGTGTGATATTACCTTTATAATGGGGTCACAAATCAATATAATTATGCTCTTGTAATATGTGAATTGTTGATAAAAACATTACATACACCAGTAATACTATTGTATTTACCAAAATGAAATAAAGTAATCAGCTCCACTAGACATGGCTTGGGAGACTCCAAATAGTAAAGCAACTAATATAGTTGGAAACCAACCTCCACATGCTCTAAGATAACTTTTGTATACCCTTGAATTAATACCACCTATACTCTTTTGTTCCTTTATTTCTGATGGTTCATCGGTAATTGAAATCTTTTTTTGTTTTAAGCTCTCTTCATCTATAGTATCATCATTTTTATCATCTTCTAAATGATCATTAAGAAGTGTGGAAAAATCTTTTCCAGAATTCTTAAGTTCTTCGTAATTTCCAGTAATAACAATTTTTCCATTTTCCATAAGGCAAATTTTGTCGACATTCCTCAGATATTGTAATTGATGGGTTATAAGTATGGTGCACTTGTTTTTAAGGTATTCGCTAATACAATCTTGAAATAATTGTTTACCAACAAAAGTATCGACAGCCGATAGAGGATCATCTAATAAATATACATCAGCATCCTTGTAAATAGCTCTAGCTAAGTTTATTCTAGCTCTTTGACCACCGCTAATAGTGACACCCTTATCTCCTACAATGCTTCTATCCCCATATGGAAGTTGTTCGAAATCGCGCTCTAAAGCGCATACTTTAACCACTTTTTCGTATTTAGATTTATTCCATTTTTCTCCAAACAAAATATTTTGTTTGATAGTTCCAGCGAACAACCAAGGTTCTTGAGAGGCATATGAAATTGTACCGCCCACATCCACAGAACCTCGCGATAAGGGCAATTCTTTTAGTATTGTGCACAGAAAACTAGATTTGCCACTACCAACTGGACCAACTATAGCGGCCAATTCACCCATACCAACAGAAAAGTTAATGTTGGAAATAGTTTCTTCTGTAAGATTTGGATGCCATTTTGCATATGCTCTTTGCATTACAATTCCATTTAGGTTTTTCAAAATAGGATCTTTATCCAAAGGAGTGGAAGTATAAGGAGGCGATTTCTTTTTACTTCCAGAATCTAATTTACTTTTTTTAATTTCTTCAAAGGAAAGAAAATCTTGTATTCTATTGATGGATACTATGGTTTCTGCCAGACTTGCTACTGCTTGCGGGAACTTTGTGGTTACGGTGTCTTTAAGAATATTGTAGAATGAAAACACTACGTAAACGTATTCGGCATTGGGTCGGTTACCCATCAGCGAATAGACTAGAATGCATAAAAACACAGCGGTTCTTGTGATGAATTTATTGTATGATACGTGCAGCGCGCGTAAGTATGACGTAGATCTAATTTGTTTTATTTCACACCTAAAAAATAATTTGGGCATTAACATTGCCATTTACATATTTTATAAGTACATACTTTCTCACAAACTCTACAAGCTTGGTGAATGATTCTTCCCAAGTATACATTTTTATTACTTGAATTCCTGATATAATTTCACCCATTAAACGAACTCTTTCATCAGTTTTAATGGCGGTTCTTAGTCTATATATTGACGTTAGTTTTCCCATAAACACTAAAAATATAAAATGTATTATTACCCTATTAATTAGACAATGCAATAAAAAATTTCGAAAATAGATCTGCCATGAAAGGGGAACCGTACGCACCCAAGTAGCACTAACTATTTTATAATATTTGTTAAGAACATTCTGAAAATAAATATTTGAAGAGCTAAACTTAATTCACATAAATAAACATAAGTAAACATCAATACAGCCGCTAATGCTGAAAAAATAGGCATTCCTATAAAAACATGCTATAAGGGTGTGGATTGTTGGTGTGGTAATAGTTCTATAAAAAACAATGCAGCACACTATACGTTATAGGTACAGCCTCTTTAGGGTGGACCAAAAAAAAGAATATTTTTTTTCTCGTCTTTTCTAAAAATATGTTAGTTTATCATGCTGTAAGAGCCGTGTCAAAATATCAGCTCGATTAAAAATTTTTTAGGGGTCGCTTTCAAAATCGTCAAAAATTGAATTTTTGTTTTATTTTAATTTTTTTTTTTGTCTCAATATTATTTTTTAGGTTGAAAATAATAAAAATTCTGTAAATTTCAAATCAATATTTTGATTTCTAAAGGTCGCTAAAAGTTCGTTGATATTTATTTTCAGAGGTCGCTCGAAAACATTCAAAATACTCTACTTTGAAAGTTAAAAAAATCTTTAGCGACCATTATTATTTTCAAATTAAAAAATAATATCGGAACGAAAAAAATTAAAATAAAAAAAATAAAATTTTTGACGATTTTGGAAATTTTTAAAAATCTTGAGCAAATTTTTAATGGAGCTGATCTTTTGACAGGGCTCCTAAAACATGACCAACCAACATATTTTCACAAGAGACGGCCACCCCAATCCTCTTAAATAAATATTTTTCTTTTTTTAATGTGTTTAATAGGAGATATTACGCATATTTAACTATATTTTAATCGAAAATTTTAAAGATTTTTATTTTTTAAAGCGTCAATTGCGGAAATAACCCAATAATTTTTTTATTGAAAATTTTTTTTAATTTTTTTTATTTTTTATCTTGTTAAATAAGACTTATTACCTATAATTAACTATATTTTAATCAAAAAACATAGCCGTTTTTATTTTTTAAATGCGTTTTAGATGGTCCTAGAGCATCAATTGAGGAAATAATCAAAAAACATTTTTATTGCAAAGGGCTAAAATAGGTCTTAAATATATGTCCAATACGTCTAGAAATATAATTGCGGAAATAACCCAATAATTTTTTTATTGAAAATTTTTTTTAATTTTTTTTATTTTTTATCTTGTTAAATAAGACTTATTACCTATAATTAACTATATTTTAATCAAAAAACATAGCCGTTTTTATTTTTTAAATGCGTTTTAGATGGTCCTAGAGCATCAATTGAGGAAATAATCAAAAAACATTTTTATTGCAAAGGGCTAAAATAGGTCTTAAATATATGTCCAATACGTCTAGAAATATAAGGAATTTAAATCACCAGCCAATTTCATTTTATAGACTCAAAACTCAAAAACTCAAAATTTTAATAGTAGGTATTTATGTAAAATCTTGTCTCGAAAAATTTTTCTTAAAATTGTCGTAAAATTATTGCACATATTAAAAAATTAATTTAATTAACTTACTCTGTAGAGGTATGAATATAACCAATAGAGAAAATCCTGCTAGAGAAGTTAAACCTACAACCCTGTACATCAAATACATGATAACTCCAGTTTCAATGGGTGCTAACCAAAGATAATGAAAATTTGTTCCAATATCATCAAATCTATTTACATCATTGGACAGTAAATTAACCATTTGACCAATGGTTGTCTTTCCTAAAGCAGCTTTGCTTAACCTAAGACTTTTTCTGTAGATTAGGGAACAGCATGCTATTCTTATTTTCATTCCTAGAGATTGGAGCCCAAACAAACAGCAATGTGATACAAGTACACCCAAGAAAGATGTAAGTACTATAAATGCCGCATACATGTATGCTTCATTAAGTGTGACTGATATTTGATTAGGTTGGTAGTAATTCATAAGTTGGCCAATTGCTAAAGGTTGAGATAACCTAAAAACGATATTTATATATCTACTTAACATTGTAAATATGTATATACCTTAGACAAAATTCTAAGAAAAATTGTAGTACTCCATATCCAATGATTTCTTTTTTGAACATGTTCCAAATAGCCCTCCATAATTTCGGATGTTTATTGGTGGATTTCTCTTGTTTCCAAAAATCTTCAAGTCTATCTCCTAGTTTGTGTGACTCGTGTTCTTTTAGAGGTTTGTATAGATCATCTTCATCTAGTTCTTTTTTGCATCCTTTGTATAATATCGAAAACCCCCAACTATAAATAAAAATATTAATTACTATATTGTTTATGAAGTGGTTTACCTAAAATAGATTGGTATTTTTAGTTAAAATTTGTAATGGAAATTGTTTTATGTCAATTATTTGACTATGCAAATTGTTCCAAAAATCCTCCCTAAGAAAGTTATCGCCTCCTAAAAATAAATGGCTAACAGGGGCAGATTGGGAAAGTCAAAACGGTCCAGGAATATAGGTCAATAATATTTTTTTTAATACAATACATATTTACTTTTATAAACCTTAATTACTATATAAAATTCAGTAGAGATGTATAAAAACGTTTTCCAATAGAAAAAAAAAACACAAAAAATTCTTTTTTTCGTTTTTTTTTTAAATTGCTACAATAATTCACAATATATAAACTGCTAAAAAGTTGATAAGGAATTTCTAATAAAACATTTATAATAATAAATTAAACATAAAATGTTTTTAAACGGATTTTTCTCACTCCTCAGAAAAAATTCGAAATGCTTTGGAAACATACTTACTATTAAAGTATAACAACTCATTTTGATTAGAATAATTAATTTTTATTTTCTACTATTGCATAATGTTGTTTTTTTTTCGTAAATAATAATAAACATAAATTCCTTGCCCAACAGCGGGAATAATGAACTCATTATTCACGTTGTTAGTCATTAGTGATTGGTCTATTTCAATATACACTGTGATTTTAGCCAATGGGGTTTTAAATTGGGAGAAGGCGACTATATTAATATTTAAAATTAGTAAAAATTAAGGTTAACCATTTGACAGATGTTAATATTTATTTATTTTTGAAAATCATTTAATTATCTACTTAATGGTGTTAATAAAGTATAGTATTTCACTCGAGATTATGCTCATTATTCACTCGGATGTTTTGAATCTCTCATCTGTCGATTCGTCGAGTTTTGTGCTTATTTATGTAACATTAAAAATTCCTTATCAACTTTTGAGCAGGTTACTTCTGTGAATAATCCTCTTTTACACGCATGTTGTTTTACATTTTTAACAAATTGCTTATTTTTTATTTCATTTTAAAAATACATATCGTCACCTAAAGGTGTAAAACTGCTTAATTTTGTTCCAGTTTTTGCCGTTTTATTGTCATTTGGTGGTACAAAAACTGCCAAAAATGGAAAAAATACAAAAAAATCAAAATAATGTCAGTTTTACACATATGTGTAAAGCTAAATGTACCTTTAAGTGACGGAAAGTAGAATTAAATAAATAATTTTTTCTACTCCTACCTTTAAAACGCCCTTTATCGTACATGTTTCCATGACACTAAGTGACCTTTTAAATACACATTGACAAGTTGTGGCTTTATGGCGCTTTAATCACGGGCTGAAGTTAGTTTTAAATTAGTTGACAGTTGTCAAATGTCATACAATCGTTAAAATAAATTGCCTTTCTTGTAAAATAATACTAAATGTGAAAATTATTTTATTATCTCAATACAAAAGTATTAAGTAGTTTCTCAACGCCAATATTTGAAAAGTTTATATGAACATTGTACTGACCTTTTAATTTCGCCGGCAGTAAACTATAACTTAAATTCGGACACGGACTCCACTGTAAAGTGCTCATAAAACATTTTCTTTACTTTCACTGTGAAAAACTGTCAATTTTCAAGAAATACATTTCGATTTATAACCTTTATAATCTGTGTTTATAAAATAAAAAAATTTGACATTTGACGGTGACACACAGATTCCCCTATTGTTTCATAGATGGCGCTCTATAAAATTTTTTGATTTAAATCATTTTAAGATAATAATAAGTATTTGTCGTAGAAAAAGTATAGTATGCACCTCGTTTATGGCGTTTATCAAACTTGATATATACTAGTCTACTACTCCTACATTGAAGAGCTGTGACATTATGGCGTTTTAAAGTTAACTACAGTGGCTTTTGGACATATTAGTCACGGGCTGAAGTTAGCTTTATTATAAATTGCAAAAAGTAAGGTTAAATTTGTAAAATGTAAAATATTTAAATAAAAATTAAAATGTGAATTAAAATGCAAATTAAACTTGGCTTTAAATTCTTATTTCTGTTTGTTGTAGATAAAGTTTAGTATGCAACTCGTTTTATAAACTTTTCTAGACACTCGTTTTTATTAAACACTCGCTCGCAAGCTTCACTCGTGCCTAATAAAACTCGTAATTAAAATTTCGTTTATAAAACTTGATACATAATATAGGTATTATAAGATATTAACCAGTATAAACCGGATATATAAAATGAAACAATAAATAATTGTTGTTTACTTACCAAAAAAAAAGTTTCGATAAAAACCCAGCTTTCTGTTTCGGGTGGACGTTTTTCTTTTTCAGTTCATCAAAAGCACTATCATCCATAATACAATAAAAATCACGTTTACTCTAGAAAACAAAACACCAAACTTAAGCGATAATTCATTGTTAATTATCTTTTAGGCTTTTGTTTTTAATAGTTACGTGATACAGGAAATTTTTACAATTTAAATATTAGCACTAACAAATTTGTTTGTAACAATTGTTATGGACTTATTTAATAGTTTTAATTTTTATATAAACAATCGAAATAGGTACGTCAACCTGTGTTTACTTTTATAATTTTGATTTTGACGACCTACATGGGTGAGGACAACTTGTTATTAAAACATACTTTGTATATAAATAATACAATTTTATTGTGTATTAAATTTAAGAACCGCATTTAAGACAAGAAAGAGTTATTTATAATTGTGTTTTTAACTTTAACCATACGCGAATTTTTAAGAAACCTCGTTTAACAGAAACGGAACAGGAACGGGACGTGATCGGGACTATTGGTCAAAATAAGAGACTTGTCGCACAATATAAATACTTAATTATACTTACTTACATATACTTACTATAATAGTACTAGTATTTGTAATTACCAAATAATCAAATATTTATCAATATATTTTTTTTATTACTAAAGAATTAAATATTTATTTTTTGTAAATACTAAAATTTGTAAGAGTTTATAATATATTTTTTCTAATTAACTACCAACTAAATATTAAAATAAATACAAATATTAAATATTGAAATAATTAGCATTTATTTTTATTTAAATAGCAAAAAAATATGTTGTGCTTTGATTACTAAATATTTAAATATATATATAAACTAATAAATAATTATAACCAAATATATTGCTATAGCAAATTATTTGGTTATAATTATTAATTAGTTTAATAATTATAATTATTATATTATTATAATAATTATTAATCATTCTCTAATCTACTACTAGATATCTAAGTAATTAGTAATGTTAAAGGCCTTTTACTTAGTTCTAAACTAGTAGAAGTAGAAAATATTTGTATAGCAAATATTTTTTTAAAGACCTAAATATATATAAGAATAACAATCGATTTCAAAATTTTTCAATTTTTTTTGGCTAATTAGAATAATTTAAAAAAAATCTTAACAATATTAATATTAAAATAATTACTAATAAAATCTCTGCTTGTGGGTTCGTTATTGCGCTACTAAAAACTGCAGGTTTTTATAGATTGTTGTTTTTAAATATAAATTATTTACAAATTTAAAAGCACTTATGTATGTAGGTATTTAAACTATTATTATATAAAAATGATTCAGATCATACTTTAATCAAGCTGTTTTAAAAGCAACTAATACATTTTTAACTAACAAGTTTTAAACAATTATATTTATAAATAAAAGCTAATATGAAAATACGAGTTTATTTTACAAAAAAATTGAAAAATTTTGATACTACTATAAAATACTTACAATTAAACTTTAAATTTATTTTTATAAAACACAAACACTAACACACGCACTGTTAAAATGAATTTAAAATTGGTATGCATGAACAGAAAGAAATGTATGTATATTTTATGTACTTTTTTGTTAGCTTGTTTTTTGCACAGACCACCAAAACTTGTTTTGGTGGTCTGTGGTTTTTTGTCGTCAATGTAAAATAACTCAATTAAATAGTTCCTATTTAATATTTCTGTAGATGATACCTATACCTACAATATATTTTTCTTCTCCCACCTTTGTATAGCCCATTATTGTACAGGGTGTTTTATTATAAATGGGACACCACTTTAAAATCTCTTTTAGAAGAGACATCGAAAAAGATTAAAATACAGCTTGCATGGTATAAAAAAGTAATATTTTTGACAAACATTCAAAAACAAAAAAGCATCGGTAAATTTTATAAAATAGTTTTGACATTGTTTTTTAATGAAATCCCCTGTATATTTTTGAATAGTTAAGTAGAGTTTTTCTTCTTCTATAGTGTTTTGTTAACTGACCCGAAAATTTTGCTAAATTTCATCCGATAATTATGGTTAGAATGGATATATATCTATAGACAACTTTTACCCCAAAAATATGCATGGTATTTGGAACAATTATAATTATTATTAGCGTTTTGTTAAAAATTAATAATAAAAATATGATTATTTTACGAAGTGAATTCTTTATCCATGGCAACTATGATTTTTACGTTAAAATAAGCCAGGAGTTTGGTTCAATTATTAATGAAATGTTTAATAAATTTTACCGAGACGTTACTTTTGGTTAAACCATGCAGGCTGGATTTTTTTATCTTTTCAGATAAAGATTTTATAAAGGTATCCAATTTATACGAAAACACACCATACATGTTTCCATGACACTAGCAGTCACGGGCTAAAGTTAGTTTTAAGTCAGTTGACAGTTTTCAAATATCATACAATCGTTAAAATAAAGTGCCATTATGGGGCAATAATGTGGACAATATTTTATTATCTTTTAAAAAAATAAAACGTATAAAATAGTTTCTCAACGCCATGGCGCGCCAATACATATTTGAAAAGATTATATGCAAGTCCGCTAAAATCCTCGTTTAGGTTTTGTAAGTGTTTGGTGAACGTTCTGTCTAGACATGATGATGATGACGATATGAACAGTTCATATAAATTTGGTGTGGGTCCCATATCTAATAATTGAGATATCGGTATACCCAACATCCACCAGCCGCCATGGCAGTATCAAAAGAACCGTAAACGTCATTCGAGGGACGGACTCCCGATTCCAGATTCGGTTACATTGGAATGATACACTGTTATAAGTTTGTAGTTTGTTACTTTTTTTGTAAAATTTTAAATTAAGTTTGTATTGATTTGTTAATATATGACACATATTATCGTCGTATCTATTTAAAGCGTATTATCATTGAGTAAAGTGTACACTTTACTCAATGGTATTATTAAGAAAGGTGGTTATGTTAACTATTTTGTTGATGCTAATTTTCTATGTGTTCAAATTGCTATGGGCTGGTTTAGGTGTATGCAATAAATTCTTAGAAAATATTACATTTTATATTCAAGTATTATAAAAAAAAATTTCTAGTGTGTCCAAAATAAAAACAAAATGATTTTTAATCTTTATTTTCTACATTTCTGAAGATATACCATTATAAACTGCAAAAAAAATAATTTATTAATTGTATTTTTGTAATTAAAAATACTTACAGACTGTAGGTTACAGTCGGCTGATTCACAAAGCATCTTATAAAATATTGCTAAGCTTCTTCGCAAAAATTATTACTTTTAACTAAGATTTGTAATTGTTTACCTAATTTTTTAACTATTTGTAGGTATTTACCTACTTCCAGTCATTAACTTTACAACTTTTTAAAAAAGGGCCGAATTTTTCCTTAATTTCCTTTGGATATTTTTTTCATAAGTAGAAAATGTATATTTTCCTATATCTTTATCGATCTAAAATAATTTTTGTAAATGTATTTCCATATTAGTTTTTATAGTACCTACCTATAGGTACTACCGATAAAGCCGATACGCAAAAAATATTTGTATAATTAGGGCATACATTTTTTCTAAAATTGAATTTATTTATCTCTTAAAATAACAATGATACCTTTTATTTTTAAATTTAAATAAATAATATTACTTAAAATCCTAGACTTATTTACAATTATAAATATGATTATGTATAAAATATACATAGATATATAATATTTGAATATTTTGTGGGAGTATAGATAGGTATTAGAGCTCTTAAAATGCCCGGCTGGATCGACTAAATACGCCACTGGGCAGTGGTCTATTATAATTATATATAATTATGGTTACCATAAAAATCACTTATTTTTTATGTGTTTCGCGAATTAAAGACCGATTTTTAAAATAGGTTTTACAAAATGTGAAAGCATTTTTCTGGTGTAACTTTTTCGTAATAATTTGACAAACAATACTAAACATGAACGTCAAAATATTATCCAAAATTATAACAGGGTTTACAGTTTTTATTGGTAGATCTTGAATTTGTAAATCTATATTTTATTTAAATAAAATTTAAATATTATGTATTCTATTATTTTTATATTAACGAAATAAAACAAGTAGGCACCCCCTTTAATGTTTTCAAATTTTATTTTGTGCTCTTTAAATTTGTATAGCAATAAAAAAACTATGATTGTGTTTGAAAAAACAATTAAGGTGATTTAATGAAGTTGATCCATTAAGCCCATCCATATTAACTCTGGAACTATGATAAATTATCATTGATAATACCAAAATGTAATGCAAAGCCAGCCACCATTGCTAATATAAGTTTAAAATTTTTAGATGTAGGTACATTGAATTGTTACAAAATTGTATTTTTACTTTTATATAAAGTGATACTGAAAAATAAATTGTAAATACTAAAAAATAACTTGTTAACCAAACTTACTGTTGGTTGAGATACCAGACATTTTGTCACCAATTGCCAGGCATGTTCGCACATATTTGCATTAACTAAAAATAAATATTATTTAACTATATTTTTAAACTTCCTATTGTTACTTACAGTTATAAATATTACAAGCATTAAAAGCTTTCATATGTGGTTCAACTAAGGATGAGGGATAAGATTTTTTAAACTTGTCAATAGTAAGCTTTCCAGTTTTACCATCAATCTAAAATAATTTTACAATAAAAAAAGAAATGTAATTAATCAAATAAGTGTACAATTTTAAAGTGGACAAATAGGCATTTGGCATAACATCTCATTTTTTGGGTGTTTATAAAGATTGAATCGTTAATGGCCTTAGAAAGTGTAGCTAAAATAAATATTTTTATTTTAAATTTTATGGAATGTTTTTTTTTACCCTGATCAACTTGTGTTTCCTCTGAGCAGGCATCATGAGCTTCTTGCATTATTTTTTTATCACTTTCGCTTACGCAGCTACCCTAAAACAAAAATTAAATGTTAAATTTTAATTTTTGGTAAAACATATTTTTTACTTGTAAATTTAAAATAGTTTTCTTTGTAGTAAGATGTAAATGGTGTTTTATTTATTTATTTATTATTTGAAAAACCCCATTGTAATTCTAAATGCATTAGTTTTTTAATTAACTTACCTGTTGATATAGCAAAAAAAGAACAGAGGTGAAAAGTAAAAACTGTTTCATTGTATTTTTGATAATAAATGTTACCTTTCTAAAAAATATTATTGAACTAATTAGAATTTCAAATAAATGAGTTTAAATGTAGTGCCCATATCTCCTTTTAAAATAATTAGTTTGTTTAATAGATATAACTTGTGATTTTTAACCATTTTTACCTTAATTAGGTTTACAGTGTTGTTTTAAAACTATAATATTTTTTTTAAATATAGGTATGTATATCCTAATAATCACAATTTGTGGTCCACCAAACAAAAAGAGCGTACCTATAGGACCTATTTCTGCAACTATCTCAATTTTTCACATTATGTTACATATCTCCTTTTTTCATTTGGGTCGTTAATTACTAATTCACATATTAAGGTCATTCCACGTTACTCGGGGATTTTTGTCCCGCCCGTCACAATTAAAAATTGTGAGTAAAAACTACACGTTATTAAATGTTTTTTAAAATATTGTTTATTATGCTTTTAATAAGTTTTAAGTACAATAAAAATAATATTATAAAATATTAATTTAATAACTTATGGTTTTTACTCACAATTTTTAATTGTGACGGGCGGGACAAAAATTACCGAGTAACGTGGAATGCCCCATTACTAAAATTTGTTTTATTTCGGATTTACGTTAACAATATCTATATTTTCAACTTTAAAGGCATCTGGTTGAACCAGGTCCCGGAATAACTCATCACCCAAAATGTGTATGAAAATCAACTGCGTTTGAATATTTTTGTCTTATTTTTTTTAATGGTTAAAGATGCCATAAAATCTGAAAAACTTTGGTACCCTGAGCCGTTTCTTTAAACACAGCAAATTTCATATCATTTGCATTACTTGCTTACCTTTACCTCTCCTTTACCTTTATAAATTAAATCTAAAAATATTAAAGACTTTATTACTTTTTGGATTTTTGCCTCGTTTTAAATATTTTATACCTACTCCCTACTCCGACCAACAGAGGAAGATCGGAGAGCTGTCATTAGAGGTAGCGATAGTGGTAAAAAGTAGACTATCGATAGCATCGATAGTGAGAAAAGCGACTATCGAAACTATCGATTAACTATCGATAGTTTACTAAAATTTCAAAACCTTATAGCTTAACATTTTATTAAAAAAATAAGGGGTTTATTTTTATAGTAGGCACATTTTCAACATACCAAATACAGGAGAGTCAAAAATATAGTATAGCACAAGGAGTCCGAACTTTATGTAAACAAGAATCTTCCTAAGATAAGAGGGCGCTGGTGTTCCGTTTATTCTGAAACAATTGACTTATTTGTGCCGAAACGCTACCAAAAGAGCAGACGTCAGTACGTATCGACAAATAGCGCCGCTGGTGGTGAAAAGACTTAATTTGTGCAATTTAGAGGGCAGGTTTTGTCAATTTCCCCTATAAGTTCGGGCTCCTTGTGTAGGCTCCATAGTATAGTATTTCAATATAAATATCTACCTTAGTTATTAAAACCTTTATATCAAAATCTATAATAACTATCGAGTTTCAAAACATCAACAATAAAATAATTGACAGCACATATTTGAGACAGTTTACCGTTGGTAAATCTAGGGTCCCTAGATTTTGCCAACTAAAACCCCAAATTTTTAATGACGTCAAATTCCGAATAAAAAAACAACGACAGTTATAATAATTTTGTTTGATTCTATAGTATACTATCGCTAGACGATAGTTCGAAACTATCGATAGACTATCGATAATATCGCTACCTCTAGCTGTCATCGATCACTACATCCTAGTTCTCCGTCTTGAATACATCGGCTCCGGGTAACTACACGCTAAGTTTGTATATAGTTTGTGTATAAGTGTGTATATAATAAAGGTAAGTGTGTATATACCCAATCAATCAATTCGCTTACCTACCCGCACACCCAGTCGCCAAAAAATAAAATACAAAAAATATTTTTTTGAAAGTTGGTATTGATTACCATATTCATGTATACTAGGGTGATTCAAAAAAAGCCTTTTTTTAAAAATGAACCCGCACTGGCCTAAATTATAAAGATTACATTAAAACTAAAATATTGATAACAAAAAATCCAAATTCGATGAATATTTAGAGGTCGCTCAAATCGATTTTCGTATTTTTGCACATTCGAGCCGCGAAATTATTACCACGCAAAATAGTAAATAACTCCGTTAGTTTTTAATCGATATTATTAAAAATTTAAGGGTTACCTAGTTTTTTAATACCCTCTGAGACAGTGTATTGAACTTTACAAAAAAAAAATTTTTTCATGAAAAAAAAAATTATTTGTTAATAAAAACGTATCATCTTATAAAATAAGCAACAATTGGAATCGCACTATGATGGTACCGTAAAAAAACTAAGAAAATAACACTTAAATTATTTAGTATACAGAAAAACTGCCGAAAGAAATATTTTATTTGATTTATATAAAATATAACCTAAAAATAATTAAGTAATTTAGATTTTTCCCATTTTCAAACGATTTTATAAATAATTTATATCCGTTTTATTAATTATGGCGTATTTTTATAATATTTCTTAATTTTTGATACCATATTTAATTAATTAAACTAGGTAGTTATTAAATTAGGTCCTTTTTACAACTAAAATAAAATAACTACAAAATTATTCACTGCATTGATATGGCTTAAGCAGAAATTTAAATTTTATTAAAATTATTGACATACAACAATTCACAAATATTGATACCAAAATTATTTGATTCTGTCTAGATGTTGCTAAATTGGCATTCCACAATAATAATTATTATTTTTAAATTTTGTCAGTAGGAGCTACTACCAGGTAGTTGATAAATTATATAAATATAAATATATTTATATATATATATATATTATTTACTTAATTCAAAAGCGTCTAAGTACCAAAACTAATTTGTTGAGAAATTAAAGAAAAAAATCTTATACTTTGGTGGAGATAGATAGCATGCCCGATGGATGAACAAAGCTATATACCTACTCTCTAAAGATTTTCTTATTTCGGGATCAATTTAAACTCACAATGAAAATAAGTCATTGCGTAGAATTTGTATTTTTATTATTTCGGTTTACATATTTGCCTGGTTTCAAGCTCCAAATGCAACTTGCGCGCCCAAAAATGATTTGAAAACACTTCATGAACTTCATGTTTACGAAAATATAGATTTGCAAATAGAAGAGCTAATTTGTTTGGCATTTTTTGATAAAAGAGTACCTACTGAAACAAAAGAAAAAATGGTTGAAAAAATTAACATTAGAAACAATCATTGCAAAGAAAAAGATGTAGAGCAGTGGATTTTTTTTATTTTAATTATAAAAAGGACAAAAATTAATAACTACTAATTAATTAAATATGGTATCAAAAATAAAGAAATTTTATAAAAATACGTCATAATTAATAAAACGGATATAAATTATTTATAAAATCGTATGAAAATGGGAAAAATTTGAATAACTTAATTATTTTTAGGTTATGTTTTATATAAATTAAATAAAATATTTCTTTCGGCAGGTTTTATGTATGCTAAATAATTTAAGTGTTATTTTCTTAGTTTGTTTACGGTACCATCATAGTGCGATTCCAATTGTTGCTTATTTTATAAGATGATACGTTTTTATTAACAAATTTTTTTTTTTTCATGAAAAAAATTTTTTTTTGTAAAGTTCAATTCACTGTCTCAGAGGGTAATAAAAAAGTAGGTAACCCTTAAATTTTTAATAATATCGATTAAAAACTAACAGAGTTATTTACTATTTTGCGCAGTAATAATTTCGCGGCTCGAATGTGCAAAAATACGAAAATCGATTTGAGCGACCTCTAAATATTCATCGAATTTGGATTTTTTGGTATCAATCTTTTAGTTTTAATGTAATCTTTATAATTTAGGCCAGTGCGGGTTCATTTTTAAAAAAAAGCTTTTTTTGAATCACCCTAATGTATACCTAATTTAGGTATATAGCAAAAGCCCTTGACCCCTTTCCCGAAATATAGTGAGCATGCTCACCTTAATGTGGTATTTTTTAATAAAAAACATATTTATTAAAGTGTCTTATTAAAATTAAAATTATAACAATTTATTTAGGAAGTCAAAGGTTTATGGTAACATGTATGCACCAGCATTGTTTTCAGCATAGCATTTGTGGGTCAACCAAGCATTTTCACATGGATTAGCACCAACTAAAAAATAAACAGATAGTCACGGATAATAATCTAGCAAATGTTGCTCCTAATGCTATAGGATGTAATACTATTAAAAAATTAAGAAAAAAAACTTATATTTATTAATTTAGAATATGGCTATGCTCATTCGAACACTAAACATAATATTATAGGTATTCAAATTTGTTCATCTTGAACAAATTTAACAGCATCTATCTTAGCAACATACGATTCATTATAATAAATAGCAATTACCCAACTTCAAATAATAAAAAAGCCATACTTTTAAATCTTCCAATTTGTTAAAATGTTTTTATATTTCCTTTTATAAAATATAATATAATAATAATAATATATTATTACCTTTTGTTCCGCAGGTTCGAATTGTAGGAGCTGCTACTTCTTGTTGTTCTTCAGGCAATACGGCAATAGTGGCTTCAACATCTATAACTCCATCATCACTTATCTATAAACATTAACCCACTTAAATGTATTGCTTGAATAAATCTAAAATAGTGTTGATCTTACCACAGCCATTTGAGTAAGCAGGCATTTAATGTAGCATTTCAATTTTTCGTCGTCGGCAAATACCTTTTCTTTATTGACTTTATCAATAAGACCTAAAAGCAACTTAGTTAGAAAAAATCTAATGTTATTTTTCAATTTGTTAATATTTACTTTCGTCTACTCCAGTTTCACCGACACAGGTATTATGTAACATGGTAACCAGCTCCTGCATTTCCTCGGAGAGCGACTAAAAATACCCAAAGGAGGTAAATTTTAAAAAAATATGATCTTTAGGAAACAAAATAAATTTAAAATAGCATAGCAAATACATCTTTCAATATATTTGGTTATATAGGGTTTTGCTTCTCACGTTCTGTCTGTACTTGGTTAAAAATTTTGCAGCCTTTAACTTTATACATTTCAGGATATTATTTTTTAAGTTTATGGAATTATAATATGTTAAAAGTGTTATTAACTCTTAACCGTTGACATGGTCTATAATGTTTATGCACGATGTTGTGGGTCCTTTGTAACCCTTTTAAAATGTATTTTTTCTATAACATAATTCAATATAACACACTACATATGCTCTAACATTCTGCAATAGTTTAAATATTTGAAAGGCGTGGCTTAATTTTGCGCGATTTTGCTTAATCATAATGGTTGTATTAATTTTTCTTTTACTCATTCAAATTTTTTAAGAGTTAATAAGGGCAAAAATTTCTGAGCCACTTGGTATAAAAACGTTAGTTAGTACTATAGAATATATTATAAAGAATGTTATGCAGTGAAATTAACTGTTTCGTTAGTTCAGTTTACTTACCATTGCTCTTGGCATAACACAAGCACAAAACACAATCACAAAAATTCTATACATCTTGTTAAAAAATTCCAATAACAATAAATTAAATAAAATGAATGAATTTATATAGCACAAAGATAAAGCGTGTTTAAAGATTGCAAAATCGTATCCCAAATTAATTATATAAAAGAATATACAATTTTATTTTATAAATATAAGTCTCGACAAACGAATATTAATGATTATTAAATTTTGTATTTAACTAAAGGAAATAGTTAATTAGGTATGCTTAAATTTATTAATACTATGTGTTTTTGGTAGATGATAATATAAGAAAATAATTAAATATAAGTAAATTTAAATTGCAATTTATTATATTTTTAATAATTATCCAGGGCAAATGTCTAAAGTTACACTTAACTGTGGGACTGGTGCACCATGGTGGGAGAAAGATGAGATTCTTCGAGCTTGAAGTTTGCCTATAGCGAATGAGTTAACATACTAGTGGAAACTCCCCTTTCGACTAATAGTCGCAGGTAATTTTTTTAACTACCGCAAGATACATATATAAAGCCAATTTTATTTGATATTTTATCTGACATCTTTGACCTGTAAGGCATCATGCCCGTGGCAACCAAACAACCTACTTTGACCAAAATATAAAAACGTCACCGTCAAGTCATTCTGACATTTATAGGGTACTGAGAGGCAAGTAGCTTTGATTTGATCACAAAGCTTATTAATTATTATCTCATAAAAAAACGATTTCTTTCACTTGTTGGATAAAACATTGTATGCCATGTGTTATGTTTCCTAAGTCACTTGAGAATTTATACCAATCGGCCTGACGGCCTCGTGGTATAAATCTTTCTCGTGTGACTTATTTTCACCATAACACACTAGTACCATAAATAAATATTATATTTAGTAAAAATACCTACTATACCTTAAGAAAAATGTTTTTTCGTCATTTGCTTCCCTTTTGATATAGAAAAAGGGCCCAAATATTTTTGGACACGTTTTTAGGTAAAAATACCTGTCTGGACTGCGCATTTTTTTTTTAATTTTTATTAGATGCCAAATTATGTTACTAGTTTTTTGCTCAAAAATGTCCAATTAATAAAAAAATAAATAAAACAAAATTAAGTTAAGGCATGTGTGAAACCAATTAATTTTTTAAACATTTATTCAAAAAATAAAAATTGTAATAAAATAAAATTAAAGAAATAGCATAAATTAACATAACGAATCTTAAACAAATATTGAACAAAAAAATAATCATATAATACAATTTTGACTATAATATTCAAAGCAGCTTTTCCGGGCTTATCCGAGACTAATTATTTGATTTATTATTTATCTAGACTACCAACTTTACAGTATTCGTTACTTTTTTTACAAAATAATTCTCATGGAAAAGACCTTTCTTTAAGCCCCCAAAATTTGACCCACAAATAATTAAATGATAAAGTTTTGTTAAATTACAACAATTACATATATGTATTTCGAGAATCCATAACTTTTTTCACCACTTTGGAACTTATGGACATAAAAACATAATTTTACAATTTAGATTGTTAAGAATGTCAAGAACAGATAACTTATACAGGGAACACGATCGAATTCCAATTGACGACTTACGGGTACGTGATGCACGGGCGGGGGTGGGAGGGGCTGGCTTTTATTATCAGAAGGGTCCTTTATCTTAGGAAGTCGACTTCCTAGAAGTATTTGGTGTTTTTATGAATTGACTTTTGGCCCCATAGATTGTTCAAATACCCCTATGTGCTGCGTTTATAGGTATATAGTTGTTGTGGTCTGAATTTTATTCCTTATTCAACGCTTATAAGCGTCCGATCCTTATCAATAAGGAAAATTCTTTATTAATTAAAAATTTCTCTTAGCGAAACGCTGACTTTGTGATTTTTTTCATAAACCGTTAATTCGTGTCTGATTTTTAATTAAAAAAAAAAATTTAGCTTGCAAGTTTGCCGGCAAAAAATAATTTAGAGTGGGGGCAAAACAAATACTTGCAATTTCAAGTACCCAGAGCTGCAAGCTCTCAGAAAACTTAAATCGTTTTTTTGATTTAAATCGTTTTAATGACTTAAGTCATTTGGTAATAAGTCATTTCTCTAAAACTGACTTAGGACTTAAAATTTAAGTAATTTTCAAAATGATTTGTGACTTAAATATTTTTCTCAAAATAGAAACTCAAGTCATTTATAAAAGTCTTAAATCAGTACATACGATTTAAGTCAGATAGAAACGATTTAAGTCAAAAAAAGATTTAAGTCTTTTTGAAAAAGATTTGAGTCTTTTTAGAAAATATTTAAGTCAGATTTTTCATATATTTTTTTATAAATTTTTAACAGCAGCATTTTCTTTTGAACTGCCAGGGGTTCACGCGGCAGCAGATCAAAAACTCCTTTAATTTCCTACCTACAATTGCTACCGCTAGTGGATAAAAAAACCGCCGCGGTAAAGTTAGCTTTTTGGAACCGTTTGACGGATACATTAAAAAATGTCCTGTCTAAAATGAATTAAAAAAGTGGGGATTTATAATTTTGTTATTTTGTTTGCCAACATTCGTCATGTTCGTGCGTAGTTATGTCTAATTTGTGATTATTAGTGCAAAGTGAAAACCATCGAGAGTTTGGAACTTCCCATCATTACAGAGTTTGAATCTATTACCGTTTAGAAGTTACCCATTTATGTATATAAAAAAGTAGCCTCCCTGTATGTCTACTCTAACAAAAAAGGTGGTTTAAGTTTTTATTTTTATTGTCCAATATATACTCAAAAAATGTGTTTTAAGTTTTTATTTTGTTTGTAAGTGTTCTAAAAATAAATCGTTTTAAATTCTTAACATAGTGGTTTATTATCATCTGTATCTGCAATAGATTAATAATATCAGTATCATTAATACCATAAAATTAACATTAATTATTATTAACATTTAAAAAATCGTTGTATTGACTTAAGGGTAATTATTTAGATTTAAATCACAATTTTTGATTCAAGTTATTTTATTGACTTAACTCTTAGATCACGATTTAAATAAAAAATATAGACTTAAGTCATAAAAACGACTTACTTTATTAAGTCATAAGATGACTTAAATCACTTTATATTGATTTAAGAATTTGGGAAAATGACTTGACTTGAAAGAAAATGATTTAATTCAAAGACTTAATACTTAAATCATTTGAACTTTATCTTAGAATTGACTTAAGATTTAAATCATTTTGATTTTAGAATTGACTTAAGACTTAAGATTTAAGTCTTTTTAAAACTGACTTGTTGCAGCTCTGCAAGTACCTATATTTAAATGCGCTTATTTATGATATTTTTACAAGGGAGGGGCCACTGCCCCTCTTGCCCTTTTCCCTGCCGGCGCTCATGTCCAAAAGTTGATTTTTATTTATTCTGTTTTGTTATTAATGCTGAGAACATAATTATTTTTATAAGACTTAAGCCTCCAGTCGCTAAAGATTCACCAATAGTTTTATAATAGTTATTTATGTCATTAGGCCAAGAAGTGTGTATTTTTGTGCTGAGCTTAAAGTTTAAAAAATATGTAAAATTGAACCGCACAAAAACACCTTCTGGGCCAAATGGCATATAACATTTCACATTCAAGTTTTAATGTTTTTTAGAATTTTAAGCCAATTTTTTTCTTAAACGATACATGGAAATTACAATTAATAAAAGTAGAAAGTGAGGTCCAAATAACAGTGAATTAAAAAATTGTCCAATCACTGACAACTAATTGGCCTAATAAAATTTTTACTGGAATATTACAGATTTTATACCATTTATTATTTATTTTTTCATTTTAATAAAATAAATAATAAAAATTTAAAATCGTATAAAATATGTTGGATAAATATGTTGGATAAATATATTTGGATTTTTTAAATAAAATTTTAAATTTGTCGATAAATTATATTGGATTATAAATTGCACCACTTTAATTTGAATTATCTCAAATAGGGAAGCCTGGAGGCGGGTGAGGCGACAGGAAAAACTAACTTTTTTTCGCAATCTTCAATTTAAATTCTGTTTGCGCCGAAATTGTCTATTTAATGTTATTATAAACTATTAAACATTTGGTGTGGGTCCCATGTATAATAACTGAGATATTGGTATACCCAAAATCCACCAGCCGCCACTGATGTAAACGACAATTTATTATTTAATATTGTTTAAAATAATAGCGGGCAGTGGAATTTTCTTGCAGAATATTTAACTTAAGTCTACAATGCATATAACTGAAATAAAACAAATTTATAATTTGAGTGAGAAGTCATTAAAATTTGTATTTGTTTATTTAAAAGTTAATTAAAAATATGATAATAAATAAATATATTAAAATTTTGAATTATTTTTTAAAATGTAAATATTAAACAATAAATCCTGAAAATTTCATTAAAATATCTCTAACGGTTTTCCTGTTATATATTTTTTTAATTAAAAGTCTCCAAAATTTTCATTGTAAAAAAATTGTTGTTAAAATGATAATTTCAAAAAACTGTTTTAGGGTTTCATTATTGATGGTGACTGCTTTATATTAAAATATATTTATTTGAATTCCACGTTCAAGATGATCTTACTCAAATCAAAAATGTTTGTGAAAATGAAAAGATAATAATTATAATAGAGATAAAAACATGAAATATGGGTACTCATTATATGGATATATCCATATATGGATATTATTTAAGATAGTGTATAAGTGGAAATGAAAATAAAAATAAAATGTATAAAAACGTAATTCTGTTATTGGGCCCTGGGCCTGTTGGATATAAATAAATAAATAACAAAAAATAAATAAATATTTTTTTTAATTAGATTTATTTAAATGTTTTGACAAGAAAATAAACATTTTAAAAAAGAAATCACATAATTACCAAAATAATTTTTTTTACTATATAGTAATACTATACTATACTATACTATAATAATATATGTATGTATATACATGCACCTATGTAAAATATAATTAAAATCAATGAAAGTTTAAAAAAATATATCCAAGATTAAATTAAAAACATTTTAGTTGGCAGATGTATATTAAAATATTTATTTACCTTCTATAAAGCTCCGGTTTACTCTATACAAGTATTGTGTAGCATTTTAGCCATTACTTGCATCTCTTTAGAAATTCCCTGTATTAGAACCACAATTTTCAATGTAAATTAAATGAGAGGTATAATTATTACTTTAAAGTAGAGTTTAAATTTTTAAATCTAAAGATTTATATTGAGCTTCCGTAAATATTAATTTGGAACACAGAAAGTTTCTTAAACCGTTATTAATTAAGTCTCTTTAAATTTAAATTTAATATTGTACTTGGTATTTTAGATGCCACAATTAATACTAGGATAGTAAATTTCAACATCTTGAGTTTGACTAAATAATAAATTATATATTCTATAATAATTTAAATGACATCTTTAATCATATTTCAATTTCCAACGTTTAGCAAAAAAACAAAATGTTAATTTATGTTGTTAAAAATTTAAGTAGGTATATTTATATTTTCATATATGTATATTTTTATTTTGCTTTTAAATTTATATCAATATTATTTAAATAAAATATTTTTAAATTTTATTAAGAAAAACTTGCATACAATAATCATTCAGCTATACCTGTCATTTTTTAGATTTAAAACATGAAAAAATATTCATAAATTAACCTAAAATATTAAGTTTCTGAGCATTGGGAATTGCGGAAGAACAGATTCTGTTTACGGAAATCTTAGCAATATCCCTTTTGTCCAATAAAATGTAACTAAAATTTGTTATTTTCTGGTTTGTTTTTGGTCAATAAATGATTTATTATTATTATATTATTATTATAATAATTCTTGATTTTTTGAAAGTTAAAAAAAATAGGTCTAACCTTGTTTTAAATTTTATCGAAAATGTATATATTTATTTTAATATGCATGCATGCAGTGATTATGCATAAAAACCATCTAACTATTTACCTACATAACTGCAAAATTCCTTGCCAAGTACTTAACTGGCGACCAACATTGGCCACCGAAATAATGTGATCTTAGAAGACTTAAGTCTTAATTAATAATTATTTCTATGTAATCTTTCGTCTATGCATGCCTCCTTGTATTTGGGATAATTGGTTTGATTTATTTGGTGACTAACATAATTAAATTATTAAAAAAAACAAAATTGTATTAAGTTATTTATTAAAATGGATATATTATTAAAAATATTACACATTCCTTCTTTTGGTTTTATGCTCTTCTCTTTAGACTTTCGCTGCATTCAACACTGCATGTTTTCTGTTAATTTATTTTTTGTTCCCTCACCTTTTTTTAAATAATTTTTTGTTTGTAGTGGCCCTTATTCGTTTCTTCAACCCATTTTTAGATTTTAAATATAACTGCATAGAACTGTCACTATCACTGTTAAAATCAAAAAGCTTAAAATAAAATCATTTAAAAACGGGCTGTTTTTTAAATCAAATGTAAGTAATAAAATAACAAAATAAATTTTGTTTTTAAAAGTTGGTACCTATCGCTATTTATGCATTAAATAAAAGCAACTCTTTCTTTGTAGTCCTACGAAATAATGGCAGATAGCACCAGTAATGAATGCAACTGTAAAAATGTCTATTGTTTGAAAAGATTATAGGTATGTAACAAAAATTAAAGAAAAAAGCTGGGTTTTGAAAAATAGCTAGAAAATCTCAACATGTATACAACTTTTAAAATGTTCCTGTCCATTGGCAACATTTATTATCTCTATTAACTTAAGTAAAACCGTTAAACCGCATAAATTTACTTTTAAAAAACACGAACCTTCTTAATAGTATTAAGGTTCGTGTAAATTATATATGGTCTGTAAATGTTTTAATACCTATAGATATATCACTATACATTTATAAGTTTTATAATTTATTTGACAAAAGTAATAACAAACAGAAAGGACAAATTTATTATTATTTTGAGAATTTTAAATTTAGGTTAAAAAATAAGATTTAAATAAATCTGAAAACTAAAAATGCCGAAAATGCATTAATTATAATTATGAGTTAACAGCATAAATAATTCAAATAAATTTTCTGATTTATTTGACCAGATATTAGTATTGGCTTGGCAGCTTATTGATGGAAATGTTCAGCACAAACCTGGTTGATTCAATGTTTTAAGATTTTCTCTCTTTACGTGAAAGGTTCGTATACGTTCGTATACGTTCCCTATAGGGAACTAATAGCTGTGTTTAGGTAAAAATGCCTTTAAAGTTTAAACAAAAATATTGCGAACGAGTGCTAGAATTGGTTTAAAACCTATTTTAACCGATAATATAAATGGTTATTCTTAATGTGTAGGCAAAAACTGTTCTTGCGTGTAGGTATGAGCACATTATGGTATTGTGGTATTCTGTGGTATGAGTGTAGGGTACCTACATAATGACATATATGATAAATAAATTAGTAGTTTCCTTAGTTACCTTGCAGCCTACAAAATTATTATTTACCTATTGTAGGTAACATATATTTATTTAATAGACATCTTTTCAATACAACGTGAAATTAATTTACATGCATGCATGTAGAAAGCCATTTCCGTTTTTATATCCTGTTTGTATTACTAAATTTCAGTGGCAATATTTTCTTATTTTTGGAATAAAGCATTTTAAATTTGAAATATACTCAGTGATATGATATGAGGCGTTTATTGGATTTGATAATCCACCAAATATTAAAATAGTTGTTATCCGTTGCCGATAATTGTAATTTTTAAGTCATTTGAAAAGCTTGCTATTACTTAAATGTAATCGTTCCAATCAGTGGCGTAGCGGGGGCGGCAGAGCGACGTTGAAATAATTTCTTAAAAATGTTTTAAAAGGATTTAAGATATAAATATATCTGCCAAATTATACCTAATTTTAATACAATATAAGGGGACTCCCTCTTATAATTGGAGAAGTCTATGAACCAGTTATTTACGTGGCCCCCCAGAACTTCATTTGTTCATGGGCGTTGCTCAAAAGATTTTGGATGGAATAAAACAGGATTTTCCGATTAAATGGCAACAACTCAAGAAAACTATATAAAAAGTGGGTGACTTAAAAACTTTGGCATCAGTTAAGCACAATAATAATTCGTTGTTGTTTCTCTATATTTTTTGTTTGTTTGTTGTCTCATAAGGAAGCAAAGTTTGAAATTTTGTATTTCTATTAAAGTTTAAGTTGTTAGGTACAATATTTTTTTTAGCATTTTAGGAAATATGTACATACCAGTGACATCTTTTGACAAGATGCTTGCTTTGGGCAAAATCTGGATGCCAACTACAAATATATTAATAATTTTTAAAATTATCAAAATAACTCCAAAAACCATATGCCTGATTTTATTGATACTTACCCTATAGGGTTCTACTCAGAACAGGTATCTGACATTTACATTACTCCAACAATAATATTTCTACAAACTTTAATCTAAACCCCAATTCTGCAAATTAAATAAAAACATTCAGTAAGAAGCAAAATGTTTAAAATGCAATAATTGTAGAGTACCTACGTATTTATCTAAGTTATTTTTATTTAAATAAAGACTAAAACTTTGAAAACATGTTGTTTTTTGATATAAAACAACTTGTTTTATATCAAAAAATGACGATTTCGTTAATTAAAGCAAGATTATAGTACATTAAATATACAAAAATATACATACTGTAAAAAACATTTAGCTACGTTGCCGATTTTAAAAATATTGGATTTTTAAAAATATATGATTAATTATACATTTTTTGTCTTAAAAGCCTATCTAAGCGAAATATGCAACTGCTTTTTTAATCTATAAATAGAAGATTATTGAAGAATTTGCACAATCATTACAATTTTTCTAAAATAATACATTAAAATATATAATTTATTGTAATATAATACAGACTACTATTAAAACTTCCAAAATCCTTAAGGGTTTTGTTCTACAATTAACCCATACAAACCGCGTTCAGGTAATTTTTGTAATGTTGCATTTTGTAATATATTTACAGAATGATTTAGTTTATATATAAACTAAATCATTCTGTAAATATAATAATTAAAGGAAATTTAATTAAAATAAACAATTTTTGTAATATAAATTTAATATTCATAAAGCATTGGCCAAATTACGGCAAACATTTTTTACTACAATATTTTTAAACTAAAATTTAAAGCGTCATGCGTTTCCGTAATTACAGAAATATATATCTATACATTAAGCAAAATATTTATAAAATATTATAAATTAAAACTTTATTCTAAAAATATTACAATAATAATTAGAAACTTAAAAGTAAGTAAATAAGTAATATAACAAAATATTTATTATTTACTAAAACATATAGTATTTTAATAATATCTTAAAATTATAAAAATGTATAAGAATAATAAAATCAGAAGATCAATTAATAAAATATTTCTTGAAATATGACAAGGTGCATGAATATATTTTAATATTTTGGTTCTAATTATTTAAGGATTATTATTATATAGGTGCAGTAGTGGCAACAAAATATAGAAACTTTGTTTGTGTGTCTTAACAATGTTTATTTTAACTTATATGTATACTGTCCTAATATGGCTTTCTCTACTGCAGTAAAATGCAAAATGTGTTTTCTTGTCATATGGTAAAGCTATGGACATTTTGTCAACACAGAAATGCAGTAAACTTGTAATAGTAATATACTATAATACCCTGTTGCAAACTTCAGCCTGTGTATTTTTTCAATACACGGCTTGTCAATAAAGAAGTAGTTAAAAACTATTTTGACATGGATAAATAAATATTATATTCTATATTCGTGTACTGGTGGTTGATTTTCTTCTTAAGGATGACATAGCGACGTTATTTAATTGGCCTGTTCCATTTACAACATAAACACCTCCACTTTCCCCTGCCCCTGTATAATGATAGTTGCTCCATCTAGAGTCTCTGTATATTCTGCGGCCAATAAATGATTTGATTGCCTGGTGCACCTCTTGATTCGCGAAACAGAAAATACAAGAAACGCAAAATCCCTTTAAATAAAAAAATAAAGAAATTATAATTTAGATAGACAGAGTGTAGCAGTAAAAACAAACTTTGGGAAATAAGAGTATTGCATTAACAGTTGACCAAACACCACCTTTTAAGTGCTGTCATCTTTCATTTTTTATTGAAGCATTTCTGAAGCCATTTTTATAAATTTAATAATGCTTTAGGAAACTTCAATGTAAATCGTAATCGGTAATATCAGGAAATCCAGGGGGCATACCTGGAAATGATGCGACCATGGAAGAAACTGCTTAAAGCATACATATAAATTGGAATACGTTTTTGTTCTTTATCTTTATCAATGTAGTACATGTGTATTATAATAAATGAAAGAAAAGGATAATGGCTTCAGCAATTTATCAATAAAAACAAACATCACTCAAAATGTGTTAGTCATTACGTTTTAAACAAAAAATTAACGATTTTCTTTTCATTTTAAAGACTGGGGCAAACATATATTTATTTCAACTTTACCTGGTATGGAATGATAATAGCAGATATATAAAAGTAAACCCTCTGGTAGGGATCTCCATTAACCGGTCTAAAGGGCAGCAAAAAATAATGTAGACCAAATAAAGGTATGAGGATTAGTGCGGCCCGGACCGCTCTTCGTATTCCCTGAGGAGCAGGGTTTGGCGAGTTTGGATGCATTATGGTCAGAATCACTCGCAGAACATTTATCAAAAAAACTAAAAGAAAGAGTAAAATTTTTGTTATACAAAGGATAAGTTTTTTTATAAGAAAACTAAAATAAATAATTATTATAAATAAGTAGGGTACTTACACAAGGAAGCCACCAATGATATTAAAACCGGAATGGTTAGGATCAGTTTGCTATCGCTTTCGTCCATCCAACATCTTAAAATAAAAAAGGATTAAATAAAGTTAATACTGGATTGTTCGGAATTTAATTTAATTTGTATTACTTAAAAATAATATATTTTCAACCAAATGGAGTTTATATTTTTAAACAAAACTTTAAATATAACTGCCAGTGCTCTTATCATTTAGATTATCGCACTGCAAAACTTTGTAATACTACAAGTAAAAATAATTTAAAAACTTATACGTAGGGACTACCTCCTAAGTCATCTTGTGTTTGATTAAACTTTTACAAAATTTTGTATTTATGTGGCATTATATTAATTTATTTGCTTTTTAAACTTACTAAATGGTATTTTTTCATGGTTAATAATTATTATTAAAATGTAATTTTAAATAGTCGCCTTTTTTAAATTAATTAAGGGCTTAGATACCGAGATATCGAGGTTTTTCACAGGCGTGTGAGGGCGCGACTAAGCAAAAATAAAAATTTCAAATTTAAATTTTTTTTTAATAATATTACCCCATTGCACCTTAATGGTGTGTCAAATTTTAACAATTTTCCCCAAAAAATATGCCTATATGAAAGGTACGTATACAAAATTGTGGATTATTTTTATCATTTTCATAGAAGATACTTTTTTTGTCAACTTTGATACCTTGTACCTTTCTTATGAAGCGAGTGAGGGTCCTATATGTGATATTTTTCTGAATCAGGACCCGTTACAACGGTAGGAACATTGTCCCCGAGTACAGTAAGTTTTAACTGAATCACCCTGTAAAATATTTTTTTATTAATTACAATTTTAATTTTAGATTAAAATTATTTCATATACAAAGAAATATAACGTTTATTAATTTAATAAACTACCATTTGGTTTTTAATATAAATATATATATTATATATAGTGACTATAGTCATAAAAAAATAAACAACCTTATTATGCATTTTAAAAATTAAAAGGAACTTTTTTTAAAAATATTAAAAATATTTGTCAACAGCTTAGTAGGTTAAATTAAATTGATCAGTTTATTCTTTAAATTTTGCAGAATGCTTTTCTTGGTTGCCTTTACACATCAAAATTTGAGTATAGCTGGGAATGTTAATTAATTAATTTTTTTTGTACTTACTTGTCAGTATCTTTGGTGCCGTATATTCGGTAAAAGCAGTAAATTTTGACGAAAATGAAAGGGGCTCCCCAACCAATGCCAACAAAATATTTCATTGTCAACTCTTCTCTTACGAATACTACAGCTAAAGCCAGGTGTAGGTGAAGACCTTCGCAAAACATCCACAAATAATTTGCTAACATAAAATATTGGTTGACAATGTGAAGGGCCTGACACCAAATCTAAAAAAAATAACTTTCTAGTTTGTAAACATTCAATTTTCTTAGATTCTTCAAGAAACTTTCTAGCAAAGTGAAGATTCAATTCGGGCTATTTTGTGTTTAAAATGTAAACACAAAATAGGCTGAATTGAATCTTCACTTTGCTAGAAAGTTTCTTGAAGAATCTAAGAAAATTGAATGTTTACAAACTAGAAAGTTATTTTTTTTAGATTTGGTGTCAGGCCCTAAACTTTAAATATTAGAATTCATATAACAACAGTTTTGAATCCCCTGTATATTTAGGCAAAATAAATCAAATTACTTTGGTTGATACAGCTTTAGCTAGTTCCCATAGGTTAAGACAATAAAACAAGTAAAAATGGCCCCACATATAAAACCCACGTATTTTTAATCACACTTACATCAGGAGGTCTTTCTTTTATGTTTCCTTTTATAGCATTTTAGTCTGGCATTTTCATTCACAAGAAAAGTTTTTCTAATTAACCAAAGTAAAGGATTTTTTCAATGTATACAAAGAGTTAAGGTTACCTCTACAAATTTAAACTATTGGAACCAATTGCCATCGATTACACTGTGCTACACTGATTATAAACAAGTGACCTAGTGTAGGTTGTTGGTCTGGTATTTTATTTATTTTGACAACCATTCGTTTGCAATTGATTTTTTTAAACGAAAATGTAAGCATATTTTTGAGTTTTTTTGATTCTCAGAAATGGGATCTTTTTTTATAAAAATATATTAAAAATTGTTTAACCCAATTTTGGGAAAGTAGACCAGCCATTTTAGGCATAAAAAACCAATGTTCTTAAAAATTCTTATGAATATTTTATACAGTTTTGTTATGGCATTCTTAAACCATTTATGACTATTTTTTGTAAAAATTGGTTTTATCATTTCCTGATTAAAATCTAGGTTCATGAGAAAAACAAATATTTTGCCATTAAGTTGAACCAAGTTTATTTGTCTTATTAAACTTTGCTACACGACGCGACTGTATGTCAAACAAAATTTTAGGTAAACGCTTTCAAGTTTATTTTATAAAGGGGTTCAAAACTTTTGTTTGGATTGTATACTTACAGGATTTTCAATATGTGTTACATTGGTATTTGGTGTTACCAATTTATAGTGTATTAACCATGCAATATTATTAAGGGTAAATGAAATAAATAGGTGAATGTGAATCCTAATTCTTATACATCTTAAAGTTCTAAAAAAAAAAAAAAATTAGTAGGCTCTAGTCATTTATTAGTGAAACATATTTTAAAGTTACACTCAGTGCACCTGCAAGAGCAGTTAAGAGTTAATCCACTTCTTTGCTTCAACTCTATTTTCCCCATCAAAAAGCAGTGAATAATAAAAATACGAAATTTAAAAATGTTTTTACATTACTTTACAGTGTAAAGTTTACACTAACGCCTACAAATTGTTTACTAATTGATAAAATGCGAATTTTGATAGGAGTTTTGTTCCATATTATGCTAATACAAGAATAATTTTACATACCTAAAAGTAATAAAAATCCATAGGGAAATAACAAGGGCTGCCAGCGATACGGAGTAACCAATAACATATAGATTGTTGATGAATGTTAAAAACTAAAACAATATAAATAAAATTATGTATAATCCCAACATTATTTAAACCCCATTAAAACTTTTTTAGTTTTAGCTTAGGGTTTTACACCTGTTGCAAATTGACTACAATCGTAGTCCGCGCACCGTCACACAGTTACTTATAATAAAATTTCCTGTTTACGAAAAAAAAATGTTTTATTTGCCATTAATCGACCCAACCTCCAATTAAAAAAAGGGATTAAAAAAATATTTTTTTAAAACAGTTTTTTATCTAAAGAACAGTATTTTTTCTACGACCACCATGTAAAAGTCACATTTCGTAATGGCATCGTTGCTTAGAAAATGTATCTTTTTATTGGCAAGGCAAAACACAAATGTAAAGTGACATTTCTGTGTGAAAAGTGACAGGTCTGTGTTAAAAGAAATTGACAGCATCGTTTGACATTCGTTTCAAAATGTGTAATATATTTTTATATGTTTGTCTAAATATCATTTAGAACACAGTTAATTGTGTTTGTATACTAAATTCTAATTTTTAGTGCCTTTATTTAAATTGAGAAGGTAAGTTTATTGATTTTAAGTAACTTATACCTTAAAAATTAAAAGAATAAGATGAAAGTAATTTTAACAGAGCTGTTAAAATTACTTTCAGCTCTGTCAAACACGTTTTTAGGTGTTTTTTTCGATTTTTTTCACAGGGAAAATGGTATTTGACAAGACTATTTCATGAGTAACAGTTATTCTGCATACACATAGCTTACAAAACATACTACCTATTATACATGCATAAATAATAAATATGTAGGTATTAATTTGAAAACTGAAAAATAGGTAATTTATTTCATTACTAAATACTAAAAACTTAATTATTTATGGTACAATTAAAATATAAATTGCAATTTTTGTTGACAACAGCTGTCATACAGTTTTTCCACCTAGAAACCATTTGTAATTTAAAATTGCGCGTTTGTGATTGGTGAAAATTAAGACGAGGGAAATAGACTATTTCAAATAGTCATTTTCAATCCCGCTATCATGACGACGCTACAGTGTGATTGACTTTGAATGTAAAAGTCTAAATTAAATTAAACGTCAGATATAATTTTCGTTTTTCTTCGGGTACCCGAATTGTGTGTTTGTAAGCAATTCCACTTGACAAAAAGTATAGGGTTTACGTCGCGTGGAATCGCAATTACTCCCTCAATGAGTTCCTTCACTGATATTACGCTTGGTAAACAAATATACTAATTTCATTCCGCTACTCCATTACTTTTCCTCCTTAGGGATGCAAAATAGATCGTCTAAAATCCGACACTCAACAAGCATTAAAATCGATCTTTTAATAAAGGTATTTGACCAAAGATATTTTCAATTTTATGGAAAATTGGCTATATTTTAAAATCAAGTATTAGTATTCTCTTTCAGAATTCAATCGTGTATTTTATTACAGTTATTTACTTTGGTTTATTTTGTTAAGAGTGGTGCATTTATGTGGGCAATAAATCTTATTTTATAGCTTTCAGTTTACTAAGCGATTTCCTCAAAAATAGGGGTTTTATGGTACCTATAGAATTTAAACATCCTTCCATACCAGACAGATAAATTGTTAATTATACTTGCGTTTAGTATTTTTTCGTCCTTTTTCAGGCAATCAGTGTAGTTTGTCCAGGTTTTGTCGTCCATCATAAACCATGTTGCGTTAGGCATACATTCTCTGTATGATAGGGCTTCGAGATCGTTTCCTTGGATGTCCTTGTACGGGCAGGATTGATTTGATATTGTCCCTGCCAGCGTTTCGGGCCAGCACATAACATTATCAAAAATTTCAGGACAATATCCTAAAAAACAAATTTTTGTGAGCATAGAAGTTGTTATGTATAACATATTATGAATAAAAATATATTATCAAATTTTTAAATACAAATTTGATGAAATATTTTTATTTATCGTCGTTAATACGAAAAAAAAATATAGGCTATGTTTTACTTTAAAATATGCAACATTTTGGAGTTAAAAAATCGATTTTTATGCGAGGTGTTTTCAGAAAGTAACGGGAATTTTCGTTTTTTGAAAAAAATATTTATTTATTCGTCTACATTAATGTTTTCGCCTTCAAAATAGTCCCCATTACATATTATGCACTTGTGCCAGCGCTTCTTCTAATCCTCTAAACTCTTCTCAAACACGATCTTTGGGATAGTCTTTAGTTCGCGATGCGCTTTTAATGTAATTTATGCTTGCAAAACGACGGCCCTTTAAGGTTCTCTTTATTTTGGGGAATTGCAAAAAGTCAGACGGAGCCATGTCTGGCGAATATGTAGGCTGGGGCATCATTACAGTATTGTTTTTGGCAAAAAATTGTGTTTAAAATTCAACAATTTTGGAACAAATTTTGCTGCCACGCATTTCGGTTGTTAATGTGCTTGGGCGTCCGGGGCGTTCGTCATCTTCAACGTCTTTACGGCCATCTTGGAAACTCATATAAACTCTTGTTTTACTTATAGCAGACTCACCATAGGCCTTTTTCACACACTTTATTTCATTTTTTACGCAAAATTTGATACAAATTCTTTGATCCCATTTCTTTTAACGAACGAAAATCGCCGAGCTCATAAAAACACGTCTAACCTTAGCGGCTGCCACAGACAAAGTAAACAATGAAAACATTTAAAATGTTTATCATTCTTCAGGGGTATGTATACCAACATAATAAAGATAATTTTATGACAAACCTGACTCTCCAAACCCGCGAAATTTAAAAATTCCCGTTATTTTCTGAACACACCTCGTACAAGAGTTTGTAAATGAAATAAGATTTATCAAATAATTTTTTTCATCCTACAAAAACTTATTTTTTTTAATATTCAACCAATCCTTATTAAATACATAAATATACAAATTTTGTAATTTCAAATTTCAATCGCACATGTTTAATTATGCATCTGTAACAGCTTTTATTTGGAGAGCGCGGTCACCCACAATAATAATTTTTAATATTTCAAATATTAAATATTTATAACGGTCCCTTTTAAATTTGTCTAAAAGTGTCTGAATATTTTTTAAAGTAAATTTAAATTTTGAAACCTGAAAAAAGAGGATTAAATTAGAATAAAATCTAATTGTTTACAAAATTTGCTTAAAAAAATTAAATTAAACTTTTTAATTAAAATATTTAAAACAAGATTAAATCTCAAACTTTTTTCAACAAACATTTCTTGAATATAATTCCATTTACAAATGGTTCAAGTTCAATTTTTCTTGCTATTAAATTTCAAAAAATTATAACTTACGAATTGTCCACCTAATTTAAAAATTTAAAATTGCTTTGTTTTGTACCGTAAAAGAAATAAGTACATTCTATAGCACATAATTATAAACCAGCGGAGAAAGCTCATATTATATCCGAGCATACACTTCTGCTGAGGCGTTAGATTGTGTGCGAGGCAATTAATAAGCTTTGGTCGCCGTATTTTATATACTGTTTTCTTCAAAGCGTTTATTTTTGTAACATTATTATTTCATAAGGTTCAACTGACAGATAGAATTTTAGCTTCATTAATGTACGTACGGTGGTGTATAATAATTTTACTTTTGAGGTAGTAGGTACAAATATAAGGTCTTTCTATATCAACTTCCAAGTGTTGTAATATGAAAATTTAGAAAAGAATATAGAATTTAAATTGTAAAAAAAATTTACTTACCAGGTGTGGTTTCATTTTTACCACAATTTTCTTTATCGTGTGAAAATGTCCTAAAACATATCTTTAATCAAAATAATTGCGGAAGCAAATCTTAAAATATATTTATATATAACTTAAAATATATTTATATATAACTATAGTTTTAAAATAGTTCTGCATCATCTATTTTTAAAAATAAAAGTCGTAAAATTTAAATTTGATGAAAGCATACGGTAATTTATAAACAATTTTTAAAAATAAATGTATTTTAAATAAAATAATATACAAGATATTAATAACAATATTTATTTTTAAAAATTATTTGCATTTAAAACATGATTCGATGTATATGTAGATAGTTTAAAGAAAACAAATACAGTGGTGACTAAAATTATAAAAACATATTATTAAATGTTGTTATTTGGCACAAAAATGTGTATTTTGATGAGAAATTTATGTTTTCTTCATTTATAAGAACAATTATTTTAATGACAAATAAAGACATGCCTTATTGATTAAAAATATAAAGAAATAAAATTAAGCTACCCTAGTGGTTTCTTGGTCAGCTTCACTGTTCGCTACAAATTAAAAGTCTGATCGCGAAAAAATTCACAGTAGAAAGCCTACTCTCTAAAAATGAATTAGTCAAAAATGACTAATTTAATAGTTATTAGTGGTTGCTTTTTCACTTGTACCATGGTTAACCATGAAAAAAAATGGAATCCCAAAATTTAAGAGCAAAATCTTATGTAAAATTGTTGCCTGAATCCGAAAATGTCAAAAGTTAAAAAAGTAGAACAGTTTTTGAGATATAGTCAATTTTCCATTTAATAGGGAATTGACTATATCTCAAAAACTGCTCCACTTTTATAATTTTTGACGGTATTTTCGGATTCAGGGGACAATTTTACATTAGAATTGGGTTTTAATTTTTGGGATACCATGGTATTTCAATTTCAAGTGAAAAAACAGTCAGTAAAAACTATTAAATTAGTCATTTTTGACTAATTCATTTTTAGAGAGTAGTTTTTTTATGGTAGAACGACGATAGAGAAACTATACATCGACGCCCAAGCCTCAACAGTTTGACAATAAAACAACAGTTTTTTATGGTCGAAATATCGTTATTTATTTACCATCTGTAACAAGTAATAAATGAAATAAACAAACTAATCATTTACCGTGAATGGACTATGTATAAGTATAGTACTATAACCGCAAAAATATCTATTTATTCACCGCAACCTTACTGTGACCACAAGACCGCCAGGGTAAGCAATGTTGTGTGGGCCTACAGACCAGGGTATATAAGATTATTACTTTATGCGTCGTACCAAGAAACACATAATAACATAAAATGTCTTTTTGAGATAACAAGGTTAAATGATATATCTTTTAAATTCATCTTAGATTAGTAATTTTGCTGGTTAATGATCATCAATCTGCTTCATCGATCTCATACTGTTTCTTCTCCAAATTTTTTTTTTTAAATGACCATTTTAGCAAGAAAAAGAAACAAAGTGAACTAAAATCCTATCGGGATATTCAAAATTTTTACCAAAAAATTAAGCATATTTATGATGGCGACAAAAAACATGCAAAAGATTGCTTCAATATCATTTATCACTAAATTTTCGAAGTAATTCAAAAATATGTTATTCCGAAGTTTTACATTCTCCAAGGCTTCGGAAACCATCTCTTTTGGACCGGCATGGTTCCTATTCTTAAAAGGGAGAAAGCACTGATATGGCCGACAAAACTTAATTTTATTTCAATAGAATATCATAGCAAAGTAAGATTTTAAATATTTTAAATTATACTTTTATTCGTTACATCTTTGTAAAATTTCTACTTCCACCTTTAAAACGCCCTTTATCGTACATGTTTCCATGACACTAAGTGAACTTTTAAATACACATTGACAAGTTGTGGCTTTATGGCGCTTTAGTCACGGGCTGAAGTTAGCAACAGGTTTTTAGTCACGGTCTGAAGTTAGTTTCAAGTTAGTTGACAGTTGTCAAATCGTTAAAATAAAGTGCTCATAAAATATTTTCTTTACTTTCACTGTGAAAAACTTTTTATTTTCAAGAAATACATTTCGATTATAATATAATATATATATATAATATGTATGCACCTCGTTTATAAACTTTTCTATACCCTCATTAATTTACGCAAGCTCGCTCGTGCCTAAATTAAATTCGTGTATAAAATGGCGTTTATCAAACTTGATACATAATATACTATTATAAGCGCCTTATTTGTTTTACCACTTTTAATGAATTAATTTAAAGCATAAAAAAAACAAGAAACAAAAAAGATTTAGTTAATTTAAATTTCCTAAAAATTAGTTATTTAAATTAAAGAAAAAAGGGTTACGTAATTAATAGTTATTATTTATTAAAAATGGGTATATTTCACTAGATTTTACTTTTTAAAATGTTTGATAATAATATTATTTTTAATATTTGATATTTTGTATTTTTATTTTAATTTTTTTATATAAAATATTTCTTTTTTTAATTTATTTTTTGGTTTAAATAAAATATTTTTTATATACATTATATACATTTTTATCTAATTAATTTAAGTAATTTAATAATTTTTTTAATAGCACCTATACGTTCTATTATATACAAATCAAATTTGGACATTACCAAAAACAATGAAATATTCATTTGAGTAGAATTGCAAGGTATCGAAGGTATTCAAGGTTCAATAAACTATTTTTAACGACCGATGTATTTTCATTCGTATAACACTTTCTGCCACTTTTTCAAAGTTTTTAACGCAAACGTACCGCCATTCAATTTAAAAACTATGAGTTACTGAAACCAATAAAAACCCTGTAGGCTAGAGAATGTTGCCTTTATTGCTATTATAGTGAACAGCCATTATTCAATTTGAGCAAGGCTGGTAATGAATCTTTATTTGTTTAATTTGCACTTTGCGTGTATTGTTTTCCAAGTAAAACGAACCAACTAAAATTTATTTAATGTAAGTCAAGGTGTGCAGTTAAGTGTATCTGTAATGTGTTTGTTTACATTGGACTGTTCACACTGCTTTATATATTTTTAAAAATAGACCACAGCGGATAAATTTAAAAAATTATTTAAATTTACATCGAAACAAACCAATTCTATTGTTTACGTCCTCAATCACATCACCTTTAATAAAAAACGTGTTTTCTATTTTAGACGTTGTCTGACTATAAAAAAATTAATTAGCACAGCAAATATTTGATCAACTTTACCTTTAGTGACGCAAATTTTCTTATGTCGGTGTAACTTGAGTGCGTTTACTAATAAATGAGGGAATAATGAATATTTTGTCTTAATATCTTAATTAAGACCTTAATGAATGTTTAAGAGTTTTCTTGCTACAAATCGTAAACAATTTTCATTAGTATTAAAATTTATGTACGTATTGTTAGTTTTTTAAACAATATATTTTTTGGTATATTTAATATACACATATGTAAAAAAGTTTGGAATATTGCAATATTTCTTTTTTTATTGATATTTATATATATTTTTTTTATATAGGTAAATACCATTTTATAACGACTCCGACCAATAATAAATAAACCTCAAAGACAGAGAAAATAGAGTAAATATTAACAACAGTTTTTTTAAACTACCATACTCTCTAAAAATGAATTAGTCAAAAATGACTAATTTAATAGTTATTAGTGGCTGCTTTTTCACTTGTACTCTGGTTAACCATGGAATACCATGGTAATCAAAAATTTATCAGCTAATTATTTTGTAAAATTGTTCCCTGAATCCGAAAATGTCGTCAAAAGTTAAAAAAGTGAAACAGTTTTTGAGATATAGTCAATTTTCCATTTAAATTAAATATGTTTGTTATATGTATGTGTGGACAATATAATGGAAAACAAAACTTAGTTCAAAAATATGAGAATGTAAAACAATTGTACGTACAATATTACGGAATATATATAATTGAAAATGTTGATTAGGTGCCTAGAAAAGTTTTCAGAACTTCAATTGAATTAAATGGTCACAATAGAAAAAGAAGTCAATGAAATTTGGTGTTCCAATGTTGTGGTATAATCCAGGTAATTTTTTTATTTTTATAATAAAACATGGATTCTCTATTCGTATTTTTAATAATATTAATTATATTTTGCATTTTTGTAAATTTTTAGATGAACATGATCAATTACAGTGTTATGTGTGTTTAAATAATTTTAATGCAGAATCCAGATATAAAGGCAAACATCTCGACGCTATGCTAGCTGATTTATGTTGGTGGTTAAAACGAACCACCGATAAAGAAAAAAGTGAAGATGAATTACCAGAACAAGATGAAGCAATGATGTAGATCCAGTAGCTGGAACTTCTGGTACTTCAACTCGTGTTACTGCCGGTTACAGCAGTGATAGTTAAATATAAATAAAATAGCGAATTTAATAATGTTTAGTTTAAGAAGTCAATTGTTTATTTAAAAAAATTTCGTAAAAATGCTATTTTTCCTTAAGTCTTAAGTTTTATATATTAATATATCAAAAATGTTAAAAATTGCTTTCGAATATCACCTAGGATATATTTTACAACAAACGGATGACAAAAATCGATTTCTCACCTTCAAAAATGGTAAAAATACCATTTTACCAATAAAAATACGTAAAAAGTAACAAAAATTGTATGATACCGTCCTCCTTTGAGGGTCTTTGGTAAAAATTAACATCACAAATGAATTCCTCGTTCAAATTGCCAAAATTATTTTGAAAAATTAACATAGTTTTACTTAATTTTTTCCTACTATGGGGTGTCAAAAAATTTAATCTCTTTAAATGCATACAAAAAATAACTGAGACGTGATATAAAAAACCTTGATAGGGTTTTCTTGTGGAAACTATTAAGTTTCATTTGCTTTTGGTTTTATTCCATTCCCTTTCGCAAACCTTAATTTTATATCACAGTATTATTAAAGTCCAAATTTTATATTTAGAACTTTGTTAGGTTTCCATTATTAAGTAAATTGGTCATTCTGGATTTATAGTTTTTCCATTATTGAGCGACTTTGGTGTTTAATTGAAGTGTGC